GTTCTGTTATTAATAAATTCCCCAGTCTAGCCAGGTGTGGTAGCACACATGTTTAAACCCAGTAGCTCAGTAACCTGAGGCAGGAGGATCACATGTTCAAGGCCAGCCTGGGAAACTTAGCAAGACCCTGTCTCAAAATGTAAATAAAAGTCAACCAATCGCTTGGGCTGGGGGTGTAGTTCAGTGGTGGAGCATCCCTGGGCTAAATCCCCGTACCTGTTCTTCCCTGCTCCCCGCTTGCCACCCCCTACACAAAAATTACCCAGTCTGGGGTATTTTGTTATAGCAGCCCACATGGACTAAGATGGTTGCTTTTTTCTTTTTAAACCCTTTTCCTGGATCTTTCTGATTCATTGTTTTAACCTCCATAAAGGGAGAATTCCTAGTGGATGCTCCAGTGGGTCTGAATGAGAATCAGCAGTTTCTTTGCTTTTGCTGCGTCTTGTCCTCACTTGTCACCTGGGTTATTCTCCCTCTCATGCTTTATCTGTTCCGGTCCACGTGTCAYTTGCTGTTGCTACTGTCTTGTTAAACACAGCTGGTCATTATTTTCCTGGTCATGGGATTAGCTGGATCCCCTCTTGCTTTCAGGATGAAAATCCAGGCTCCTCAGCTGAGCATGCGAGGCCCTTCAGAATCTGGGTCCAGCTTCTCTGCTGTCTCAGAGCTCTGCCCTTTTCTTCTGGCCTCCAGCATCAAAGGTTTTGTCCTTCCCAGGACATTGCCACCCTCTTTTTTTTCAGACTCACCCTCATGAGCTTTTAGCTCACGGTGAGTCTCCTCCTGGTTCCATCCTTCAAGACCCAGTTCGGCCACCAGCTCCTCTGGATCCTTCCCATGTCCCCAGGCAGGCCTGCGCCCGGCCTTCGTGGCCCTGGCTTCACACCCTGCTGTGGCACTGGGTGCTGGTGCCCTCTCCTGCTTTTCCAGCAGGTTCTCTGAGTCAAGGCCTGCTTCTTTTTCATTTTTACAACCTTCCTATCAGCTCTGAGTTTAGTACATGAAGGTCCCAGGAGTTTTAAATAGATAAGATGAGTCCACGGGAATCTGAGTTGAGATTCCCAAATAGCTCATCTACCCGGTTGTAACCTCTGAGATTTGTAGAACTTCACCTTTTCCCCACATCAACCGGTTTGACCTTCAGCAGATTTACTACCGGGGCAGGTGGCATAATTCTTAGATTAGAAATTGTAGAATGGACTTAGAGTTTAAGTTACTGGGAAGTAGAGGTCAAGAGCAGAGCCAAGATTGGCGGTTCCAGCTCTGAGAGCTTTTACATTTTCCCCAAGTATCCTAATGATTTTCATATCCATTGACGTAGTCATTCATGGTCCAAAAAGGTAAATGCAAGTAAAATGTTCTTTGTAGCATTTTCATTATGGTAAAATTGCAGAGCCATCTTGAAGGCCTAGCATTAGAAAAAGGATTTGATCAATTTGAGTTATCARCATGGCAGAATATTAAGTAGTTCTTCCAACGTACAATTATGGTTCCCTCAGGGAGAGGTCTGACGAGTGGGTAGTACACAAAATAGAGTTGTCCTGTAAACACATGGTGGGCTATAGTTGTGTTTAGCTCATGAGAAAGCAAAACTTACTTTTTAGTATTTTCTTCAGTGCTTTGTTGGATCTATGCTACTGAGATTTGGTTTATTTGAGCCAAAGAGAATATTTGAAATGGCCATTGTCTCAGAATCTGGCATATAGGTTCACGAGCCAAAGTGTGCCTGAGAGATTAAAAAAATGTGAATTATCTTTATTGAAATCATCGTTATTGTTTAGAATGCACTTATAAGACAATGTGGGAAACCTAGAGAAATTTTAAAGTTAGTGGGAAATGTCTGACACACAGTTCTATAAAATAAAGGTAGTTTTGTGTGTGTGGGGGGCATGGTATCATATTATTGAATTGCTAAAAGAGTTTATCTTTTCAAGATTATAAGAAATTATGAGACTATAAAATAAAAAGGAAAACCCAGAGAAATGAAAATTAGGGGAGAATGGAAAAGCAGAAGGGTGGTTGGGTTGAACACATGCGGTTTGCTTTTGTGGGAACACCACACTGAACCCCATGACGTGTATGATTAATACATGTTTTTTTTTTTTTTTTTAATAAACCCAAGACCACAGTCACATTAGGCAAAAGTCACCATGATTAATGTTTTGTGATCTCCTTTTTGAAGTTTCTGACTTGTGTGGATGAGGGATTCTGTCCCCCACCTTGGGATCATGTTACTGGATTGTGTAAAGGAGAGATTATCTCTGGATATTCTGTGTGATACCCAGTACGTTTCAGACCAGGAGTCCCTAACCTTTGAAACTGGCATGGCCTTTGCTTTTGGGGGGTGATGTCAAACCCTTAATGCCTGCCAGGGACAAGTGTAGGCAGGGCCTGCTGGAACCTGGAGCCTGCCAGGTTTGTGGGGAGGGTGGCCTGAGTCGTTATCTGCAACTTGCCTTCACAGGTGCTGATCTGTCAATAAAACGTGGCAATCAGGAAGGCAGGCAGTAAGATCAGGAGGAGCGCACGGAACTCTTCCAGTGACCATTTGACAGAGGAGAAGTGGGAAGGGGCACATTTCTCCCCTAACAGATAAATGGCAGAAGTTCAGTATAGGGTTTGGAGATGGAAAATAGAGCCCAGGGAAAGGTTAGGGGCTCTGTAACTGTGCTCTTTGCCTCAGTGTCTGGCAGCACGCCGTTCCCTAGAATGAAGAGTGTGATAGCGGAGAGTCCCCACAGATGCGGGGCATCATAATGTATCGAATAAGAAGTCACGTGATCTTCTTTCCATGAAAATGACAGGCTGTCAAACTCTGGAAAATCATTACTATATTCTGGTGAATATATACTATTACTTAATTTCCCCTGTCAACCTGCCTCTGAATCTAGCTCTTAAAAAAAAAAAAGAGAGAGACTTTGCTTAAGTGTTTAAAGTCTTTTTCCCATTACAACCTCAAATGGGAATGTTCTATGGAATGAGAACTTGGGGAGAAGAAAGCCAAGAGAGTGGGGTGGGTTGGTGGAAGGAAGATAGTGTGGCTGGCGTAGGCTCTCGAAAGAGAGGAACACCGGCTGTGTGGCTGTGGGTGCTCTTCTTCCCTCCTCCTCCATGTTTGTTTTAGTATGCGAAATGTCTTCACTCCCCATCTTTCTCCTTTTTACTTCTTCAAAATCAATTTTCTTTTTACAATGTCACCCGGTTTCCTGGTCCCTCTTTTAACTCAATGGCCTCTTGGGGAGAATTGATGGCTACTTACTGAAAACCTTGAGAGAGCCCTGTTGTAGCAAGTACAGGTTGAATATCTTTTATCCAAAAATCTATAATCTGAAATGTTTGGGATGCTGCCATGGTGCCTGTGTTTAGAAATTTTCATACCTGACTGCCTGTGATAGGTTGCAGTTACAAATTCAGTGACACTACAAATGTTACATCAGATTACCTTCAGGCTGTGTGTATAAAGTGTACTTGAAGCATAAATCCATTTTGTGTTTAAACTTGGGTCCCATTTCCAATATATCATGTTGCGTATATGCAAATATTCCAAAATCTGAAAAAAAAAAAAACCCTGAAATTCAAAACACTCTTAGTATCAAGCATTTTAGATAAGGGCGAGTTGTGCATAATACCAACAGCTCTTATTTTTTTGTGTATGTTTCCTTTACTAGTCTGTAAGTGCTAACAGGCATCATTCTTTAAGCAATATTTATTTTCCCGCTAACTGGCAGATTCTGACAATATAATATATTAAATTGAATGATAATTGAATTCATTAACAAGTTGATAATTGAATAAATTAATCTTTTAAAGGAAACATTAAAACTGAAATTATGAGACACATATCTCCCATTGACTTCTTGCAAACATTCATTATATTAGAATATTCTAGGGCTGGGGATGTGGCTCAAGCGGTAGTGCACTCGCCTGGCATGCGTGTGGCCCGGGTTCGATCCTCAGCACCACATACCAACAAAGATGTGTCCGCCGAGAACTAAAAAATAAAAATATTAAAAATTCTCTGTCTCTCTCTCTCTCCTCTCTCACTCTCTTTAAAAAAAAAAAAAAAAAAAGAATATTCTAGCATCTTCTGTTAGAAGACTTAAAGATGCCCAATCAATACTTCTCTTCCTGGTATAGAAGGAAGACCAAATTTTGAATCAGTGGATATTGTAAAGATCAGCAGTTAGAGAACTAAAACCACCTTTATGTTACTGATATAAACTATGTTCTCCTGTGTCAGCTGAGGTAAGGGCCAGTGGTTACTACCTCTCTGTCCCCCGAGGTCACACCTTGCACTCCACTGGAAGGAGGCTTGGGTCTGAAGGAGAAACCCTTATCCAGGGTGTAGAGAGAAGCAGGAAGGAAAGCTCCTCCTCCCGCAGCCCCCAGCTCCCTTCCTGCAGCCGGGGGCCTTGTCTGTAGCCCACTAAGTAGGAAACCCCTTGCCTCCAGGGGCAAAGGAGGCCYGGAAAGCTCTGAAATGGATTAGATCAATTCAGTCATAATCTGCTACAAGGCCWTTCACTTCCGTGTCTGTTTCCCATCATAATGTCAGCTATGATCCATCCAATACAGCTCACCAGAGATTTCACGGTGGGATCAAGTCACAAAGTTAAGATACTGCAGTGAAAATCACCAGCCTGGTAGAGATGGCCCATCACAGGGAGGCAGAGAGGTCGTGAATGAGAAGATGAATCCCAAACCTGACACCTGAGGAATAATCTTGGAGCTGAGTGACCTTGGCCCAGTTACCTCGCCTCCTTGTATTTCAGTTTATCCATAAGATAGATAATAATAGCACTTGCGGAGAGGGTTGCTGCAGCTAGTGAATGAATGAATTCATATAAAGAGCTTGGAACTAATGCTCGGCACATAGCTAAACGCATTCATCACAACTTCAGGAAAAGTTTTTGAATAAAAACCCTTTCCTATTATGAAACTCTCAGGAGTTATTTAAAATTCAGATTCAGTTCCCCTGGCAAGGCATGAAAGTTCAGGGCGGTAGACCCATATCAAATTATCCTGGCGGGTGTTAGCATTCCGCTGATGTTGTTGTCCTGTCTTGTTTTCTTTGTTGTAGCTCCAGAGGTCTCCTCACCTGGGGGCAGCTGGGGTGGTGCCTTCAGCAAGCTGCATGCTGGCTCACTCTCACTAGAATGCGTGTGGTTTCCTCMGGGTTCCAGCAGTTCTAGTAGTTCAGTAGTAAGACTCCTGAGCCTCACTTGATTCTAGAATCTAAAGAAGACACCCTGGAGTATCAGAGTGTYGACCTGAAATCTGCCTCAGCTCTCCAGGTGCTAATTCTAAGCAAAAATTGTTGCCAGCGTTTCATGCTTGTGAAGGAGGGAAGGAGACAGGATAGGCCGGCGTGGGCGTCCGTTGGTACTGCCTGTTGAGAGTCTGGGACCTTAGCTCCTAACACTTGACGGGGAGAGGTCCCCATTAGCCAGGGGGCTCTCTGGGTGCTTTGGGGTTGGGGAGCCACCTGTACAGATTTTCCTCCTCTTTCAGGAAGTGGCACCAAGACACTGGCCTTCCCCGAGAGCTTTAGAGATGTGCACCGGAGGCAGCCGGGTTCCTGGGTCTTCCTTTGTTCTCTGCRTGTGTGGGTCTGCTTCTTCCTGGAGCCCTGTTTCTGCACTCTCAGGCTGGACGGTGTCTGTGCTGTGCTGAGGGACGGGGCCTCTGGAAGGCCTGGGCCGAGAAGTYGATGCCGGAGCACAGCGCGGCTGCCATCGCCTCTCACGTGGACTCCCGAGGCCTGGGACCTCCGTCTYGGGGAAGTCTTTTCAGCAGATCCTGGAGGGCGTGTGGGTGCCTGGGAAGCTCGTGTCCTTACGGGCCATCGGGGAAAGAGCTTGGCCCTGTGCACAGCTGTCTGCCACAGGGTTGACTGTGGCCTTCTGCTCTCAAGATGGCTTGGGACTTCAGGAAGTGCTGGTCCTCTCCTGTCCCCCTCTCTAAGGAAGGTTCAGTTGAGGGTCAGTTTCATCAGCGTCTCACATCGGTCCTTGTCCTTCTGGGTTCCTTAGTGGATTCTTTACATCGTGATAGATTTTTTTTCCCTTTATGTTTCTTTAGTTTTTTTTTTTTTTTTGCGGGGGAGGGACGAGTTCTTCCAGGTGAGAGATCAAATCAGTGCATTCTGGGACCACTGGGGACATCCATTGTTCCAGCAAGTCCCTGTTTTCTCTGCTGCACTGGGCAGTCTCACCCAGGAGATAGTCCCCTGTCAGAGCGACTCTGCGACGGCCTGGCTCAGTCGGCCTGGCCCTGCTGGGTTTTCCTTGAACGCGTTTCCTTTCTGCTGGTTTCTCTGTCTTGACCCGATCCCAGCAGCTCCCGAGTGTGTTTCCTCAGAGCCCAAGCAGTGATCCTGTCCCACCTCATCTGCCCCAGCGGCTGCGCCTCCTGTGGCTGTCCCCTGTCAGGAGCCTGCCTCGGGCTGGGAAGGTCCAGCTCGCCACCCACTCTCCCTGTGTGTCCATCAGCTTTCTGCCACTGTGACYGACAGAAGGAGGGAGGATCGGAGGAGGGAGACCAAATAGAAGGGGTTGCTGGGTTCATTGCCTTGGCCTGTGTGCAAGTCCCGGGAAGCATGTGGGGAACAGAGAGGAGGGGCTGGCAGGGCCATGACCCTGCTCCTAGAGGACCTTCGACCTCTCGGGAGTGCGGGGGGCTGGGTCAGGCCTTCCGCTCCAGGCCTCTCAGGAACATTTAAGATGCAAACCATAACACAAGGGGGGACCTAAAAGTGGGGACCTTCTCCGTGGTTCCTGGGACTGGATCCTAGTTCTGTTGGAAGGGACACTTCTCGTCTGCTGATGTCTTTCCTGTCTTCCTTTATTAGTACATTTTTAAGGCTCCCATAAGGAGAAAGATTTAGCGTCCCCATTTTAAATACCTTCTYGTGTGGAGCGCAGGGTGTCTCCATTTGTTTTTTTTGGTCTGTTTCACCTGGCCTTCAAGGTTTCCTGTTCTCCTTCAGCTTTTACTTGTTCCCGTCCCTCTTTCCTCTGTGGTAAAATTTAGCATTTTAACCAATTTTATCTTGAGTGTTAAGTGTGTTCCTATTGTACAGGCATTGCCCCATCCATCTCCAGAGCACTTTTGTCTTGCACAACTGTGGCTGCACACCAATAAACACTAACGACTCATTCCCTGTCTGCCAGCCCTTGGAAAGTAGTAATCTACCTTCTGTCTTTAAACACTGGGTCCTTCGTATAAAGGGGATCATGTAGTGTTTGTCATGTTTCTGGCTTGTTTCACTTAGCACAGTGTTTTCAGGATTTGTCTGTGTTAATAGCATGCATCAAAATTTCATTCCTCTTGAAGACTACAGACTATTCCATAGTATGTACATCCTGTTTTCTTTATTCATCCATTCATGGATGGACATCTGGGTTCATTTCACTTTTTGGCTCTTGTGGACAATGCTACTATGAAGATGAGTGTACAGATATCTTCTTGAGGCCCTGTGACCACTTTTGAGTAAATAACTAGAAGTGCAGTTGCTAAATTAATGGTACTTTTATGTTTAATTTTAGTGTTTGCTTCCACAGTACCTTGGCTAGCCTCATTCTTGCCTTGGCCACACCAGTTGAAGTACACACTGTGCCCATGTTGGTGAAAGTCAAGCTTTAGCAGCCTCCATTATAAAGCTTGACCTTTTGCTGAGCCAGGGCCCTGTTTCAGGGCCTGAGCCCGACCTGCAGGATCTACTTGCCATTTGCTTCTGGGCCAGCAGCATCCAGTTGTATAAAAATAGCTACGTGCCTTTGGACAGATCCGAGATCRCTGCATGACCTACCAAGGTCCCTCACAGCTGTTCTGAACCTGCCAGCCCAGGTCGTAGTCATTAAAAAATAAGTTATTTTCCCAAGCGTAAAAACCAAGGTGTTGTGCGATTCGGGTCAGCTCTACTCGGTTGCACCAAAGTCCTATTATCTAAAGGGTTAACTGGTTCTCAGATTGCTTTTGGTCTGTCAGGGTTTCTAGCACTTTCAGGGGATGGGAGGCAGCGTGCCTTAAATGACCCTTTTTTCTTGGGTCCTGAATCAATTGTGAAATCACACAAAACGAAATTGAAGTGTTGCAGGGGGGAAAAAAAATCCCTTCTCTTAGAAACCAAAGGAGTGAGGAAGAGGAGTTTCCTTCTAACAACTTTAATGTGGGAAACAATGCTTCCCACGTTTGTTTATTGTAGTTTGACTAAATAAATGCATCACTTGTGAATAATCAAATAAAAACAAAAAATCTCTCCCTTTGAGGCTGTTGGTTGGTGTATGTGGCTCACTTAATGCTCATAATTTTGCTGTGAATTCAGTAAGTCTATTTTGTAGAAGCCRAAGTTTAGTCTTAGGGTGGGAAGAGAATGTCCCCCTGGGTTTACGGCTGGGGTTTGACCTTGAATCTGTGTTGACCACAAAGCCACTGCTGCCTTTTCTAAAATGATGTGGATAAGAAAAAATGTTATACGTATTACTAATCCTTTTTTCCCTTAAAACAAAACTACAAAGTTCATTCCAGCCAGTTCCCAGTTTTTGYAGAATGTTTCTGTGAGTCGTTCTGACAATGTAGGCACATTTTGTTTCGGTGGCTAACGTCAGAATGGAAGGGCAGGGGTGGGGGTTGAAACAATTATTGTTTCATGTCGGGGTCAAATAACTGTGTGGTGCTAGCTAAGAGTTCAGCTGAGCCTGTCTGTCATGCAGGAAGCACTAAATGAGGAGTTTGGTTGTGGAGTCTGAGTGTTATGTGGAAGGRGCCTGAGAGCTCTCATTTAATACAAGATCTTTGGTGTGCAGACTCCAGTGGACACAGCTCCGTGGGTGGGGGACGGGGACAGAATCTGTGTTCCTGTTGAAACAGAGGTAGCATAAGAGATTGATGAAGAGCTCCAAAATGTAGCATTCAGAACTGGCAAGGAGAAAAGAGTGTCTAAGAAAAATGGACTGTAAGGTTGGCACTTATCTAAGTAAATTTCATAATAATATTCCTTAAATGAAAGGTTTTTGTGTGTGTTACCTTGAAATCATGATTCTAGTGCCTTGAACATTCTCTTTGGATTAGTGTAGTGTACAGATTCTTGTCTACTTCTGTTAAGTTTCGTCTTGTTAATACAAGTCATTTAAAATGACTTTCTTTTTTTTCTTTTTTTTWGCACCCAATCCCTCAAATTCACTGTGCTTATAAGACCACCAGTTTCTTAGCAAGTGGAGGGAGATGATTTCTTTCCTCTTGACTAGTTTCCCAAACTCCTACCCACTTCACCACAAAATCAYGGGAGTACATTCCTTAAGAGAACGGGGGTTTTAGCATTTCTTATCTGTTGCATTTTATCGGCATTATATTCAATTATGTGCCTTTGTGTTGATGAATGCTTAGGCCTGTAAGCACCTAGGAGGAGTAGATTTGGTATAGACCCCCTGTACCCGGAGAAAGTGCTCAAGTACTGACTTTTTTGCATGAAAAGACCAGGAACATCCCATGCCCCATTTTCCCACTGACTGGCCCCAGGATCTTTGATAAGTCACTTCCTCAAACTACATTTCCTCCCATCTTCTAAAAAGGAATACTTTCACATACTTTATATGACGACTATTAAGAAAATATGAACTAAGATGTTAAAGTAATATGGGAGGTTTCAAAAACTGAGAATTAGGGTTTTGTTCATTTTTCTCTCCTAATTTGCCCAGGCACACGTGGATTATTAGGCCATGTCCTGCTCTCACTGCTCTCAGTTGGCTCCTTAATGCTAGTCTGAGTAGTTGCTTCAGATGGYTCATGTTTTGCTCATAGTTTCTTTTTAAAAGTTTCATTCTTTGTGAAAAGCACGAACTTGTAGATTTCCCTTAGAAAATTCAGCATGCTGCACGGGCAGTTTGGAGGTGCTAGGACTCCCCCTTGTGGGATTCTGAGATGTACTCTACAGCAAAGAAATGAAGCCCCAGGGTTTGCTTCCCTGCCCTAGAAACCTGTCATCCCAGGTGCTTCAAGATCTGAGACCTTTTGAGCCCATTATTGACATCACAGGTCCGATGGTTCAGGGTCCACAAACTTTGTTCATTAGCAAAATTATTTAAAATGTTATAGAAATAAAACGATGACTAGGCCATGTATAAAATATGAAACGAATAAATTCTGTCTTTAGACTTGGATCCCATCTCCTAGAGATCTCGTAATGTATATGGAAATAATTCCAAGTCCCCCTGCCCAAAATCCAAAATAGTTCTGGTGCCAAGCATTTTGAAAATAGAGTGTATTTTTGTCATGCTTCTAGCTAATTTTGTCATGCTTAAAATGTCAGATTATAAATTTATCCATGTAGAAATTTACCAAAAGGACAAACTATTAGGCTTTAAGTCATATCAAGTTACTGGACATAGGGCTTTTAACCATATTCAAAATCAGAATTTTGAACTTCTATTAATTTCTCTCTACTCAAACATTTAAGGGAAAAGATGTAGTTGCAGATTCCTTTAAAAGAATCGTAATTATAAATGTGTACTTTGAAAGCATGCTGATTTTTWAAAAATTTTGAATAGTTCACATCAGAAGTACACCAAATGTCAGGTTTGGTATATAACCTATTTTAAAATTATTTTTACTTTCTTCCCATTCCCAGTTTGCCCAGCCCCACTGTGATTATGACTGCTTGCCAATTGTTCTGTTCATTTGCTAACTGCATGTTGAGTACCTAATGACTTTGTGATAAAAGCACAGACTGGGTGCTTGTGGTCTGCTGGGGAGGGTGACCTTGACCAGTTTGTTACATTATAATGAGGAGTGTTAAGAAGGTCAGGTACAAGGTGCTGTAGGTGTGGCAGTGCTATTRTAGCACAAAAGCCAGTACAGAAAGGAAGAGGCAGGTCTGGGTTCCAATAGAACTTTGTTTACAGAAGCAGGAAGTGAGCTGGAGTTAGCCTGTGGCATAGTTTGCCAGCCCTGGAAGTCTGTATTTAAGAATGAAGACACATGGATGGGTTCAGGGGCTTCTGAGGAGGAACAGTTACTCTAACTGGGTTCTGGATTTGAAGGTGGCGTGAAGTTGGTGTTGGGTCTCTGGCTCACACAACCATATGATTAATGGTACAGTTGATGAATATGGGTCTTAAGATGCGGGAGGCAGCCAAGGTGGCTGCTTGGGGGGTGTTGGACTGTGGGTATGCGGAAAGATCCGAGTTTGAGAAATAAATGCTGGAGGCTTCGCCTTGTCGGAGAGCTTCCTCAGGAAGAGAGAGGAGGGCCAGGATGGCCTCCAGAATTACTCCAGGGTCTGGTGGTTGGAGAGGAGTAGAGGAGCCAGAGAGGGACAAGTGGTTAATGTTCTTCACTGAGGCCGAAGGAGGCAAGAGCAAAAGGAGCAGCTCCTTTGGTTGGCTTCTTGCAGACCATTTGAAACTGTGGTTAAAGCATTTTTAGAAAGTTACTGGCTTTTTTGGTATATGTCCTTGGTGGAGGGATTTTTTCATAGAAAGACAAATTTAAAAATCGAGTTCTTAGGATTTTTAGGTTCACTGTATAAATCTTATTATTCTCTTTAAGAAAACTAGTGGTTACTAGCAACTTTGGAAAAGTGCCTTTGACTAACATTTGGTCCCATTGATAAGCTTGGCTTTACTGTACATAGTTTTATTACATTGAAAATGTAGTGTGTTTTATTCTTTTCTGTACTTCAACTGTCTGAATGACAACTGAAGTAATACCCGCCCCCCCCAGCTGGGGATTGAAACCAAGGACTCAAAAAATGCTCAACACCCATTTTACCACTGAGCTACACCCTCAGCCCCTAAAATGTTTTTCTATATATGTACTTGAGTAAGTCTTACAGATTACATGATTGTGAGTCGGCTTCATAATGCATCTTCCTGGAGTTCACAGATGCTCACACGCTGTGTAAGGCAGCCTGGGTTTGGGGAGTGTGTTTTACCCAGCTGAGATTTCCCAATGCTCTGACGTGTTCCCAGGTCAAGCACCTAGAGTCCTGGTGCCAGAGACGTCAGACTTGAGGAAATTTTATGGCCCAGGTTCTTTAGATTCACATGCTGCACTTAATATCCAGGGTATTCACATTTGTCTGCAGCCCCTACCCTCCTACCCAAATGGCTGTGTCCCTCGATTGGATTTTTTCATTTCCTTGCAGATAGGTTGGGATTGTTCCATGTGCCTAAGATATTGGAACCTGACAAAGTCCTGCATTCTTTGCTCATAGTTTTGTCTCTTCCCTCCATAGCACTTCCGATATTAAAAATGATAGCTAGTTTAATTGTGGGTATTATCTTTTATAGTTTTGTCTGACTTGAGGGTCAGGGTCATGGCTTCTAAAGGTATGGATAGAAGGCACACTTGAAAACAATTATTTGACTGTTACTGTGTAAACCTACTTTAAACTCCAGCGATTGAACAGAAAGTTCAACATGCATTGGAAGCGCTGAAGGTACAGCGTTCTATGTATAGTTAGAACATATTCACCTGCTTATTGCCATGCTGAGAATTTTCATGTTGCCCAAGAAACAATTTGTGATTTGCTTTAGAAAGTAAACCCAGTGGCAGCACTAATCTTTCTGTTTTGCTCACTGTTGTATTTCCAGTAAATAGAATAATGCCCAGTATTTAGCAGAWACTCAAATATTTGTGACTAAATGAGCGAATGTGGTTTCTGAATAAATGAGGAATAGTATATTATTAATGCTGGATTGTGTTTTTTACATCCTTTATAAAGTTCTCCCCCCCCCCTTTTTCTTTGTAGGCAGAAACCACTAATAGTAGCCTCTTGCAAGTGCAACTGGAATGCAGTTTACATAATAAAGTGTGTCAGCAATTAAAGGTAAAATATTTAGTATTTCTTCCTTCTTCCTGTCTCTCTACTTAAAAAAACCAACAGGAATAACAGAAAACCAAACAGTCTGTCTGTYCTTGGAAATGAAGATGCCATGATCTTAAGTGCTTTTCTTTTTAAAAAATTGACATTGCAAAGTTCAGATAATTTTTTGAGTTTTCACTTTTCCCTCCTTCCCTTTAATCACAGAATTGTTATCTGGAGTCTGATGATGTTTTGCACTTACGAATGAACGTAATTGTAACAATGGAAAATTCCTCAAAAGAATTTGAAGAAAACACACAAGATTTGTTAGATCATCTCTCTATTGTTTATGTAGCAACAGATAAATCTGAGACCTCAGGTAAGGTGAAATCTTTAAAAATTTTCATCATAGGGCTGGGGATGTAGTCAATTGTAGGTGTGCTGGCTTAGCATGCTTGAGACCCTGAGTTTAATCCCCAGTTTTGCCAAAGCGGGGAAAAATTCATTATAGTATATTTTGATTAATTTGTATTATCATTTGATAGCATTTACTTGTAGATTGTACTTAAGAGACTAAGGCAGGAGGATTGCAAGTTCAAGGCCAGCCTGGGCAACTTAGTGAAACCCTGTCTTAAAATTAAATAAATAAATAAATAAAGGTTGGGTTTGTAATTCCATGGTAGAGCACCCTATTCAATCCCTAGTACCTGGGGTGGGGTGGGGTGGGGGAGGGAGTGTAACAGTAACTGGTTCTCAGCCTGCAGCTGTTAACCAGGCTATATTATTTGGGGAAGGGGCTTAAATGACCATTGCAGACTGTTCTGAGTCTCCTTGTAAATGCTTTTTCTTTTTTTCTTTTTTTCATGTTTTAAGGATAGTAAACAAATCAAATGGCCTTGGTAGTCTAAATATTCAGTGTTTGAAGTCTGATGGCAYTTTATTCCAATTTTAGTGTATGTCGGCTCTGTTAACAAGTCATGCTGTTTTGTATCTTAATAGCTGAGGGCTGGTTATTCTTGGATGCCTGACAAGTTAGAGTAAAATTTTTGTGTTCGGTTCTATGAATTTAACCTCTGGATGTAGGTGTCCTATTTATCAGAAACAACCTATTCATCCGTTTGACTTTCTAAGAACTTTTGTAGGAGACACACATCTTATGATCCGTGAAATTCATAATGTGGGATTTATTATAATTCTTTGGTTATGACAGTATGTGAGTGTATATGTGTATTCATATTTTTTAAAATGGTACAAACGTATACAAAAGCATAGTTTAAAACATATATATATATATATATTTTTTTTAATTAGCAGTCTTGCTTTTTTGTACTGGGGCTGAACCCAGGGCCTTATGCAGTCTAAGTGCGTGGTCTGTCACTGAGCTGCACCCCAGTGCTGTTGGCAGTCTAGTCAGTCAAACACCATTTAACTTCCAGTCCTCAGAATTGGCCAGAGTAGCGATGGCCAGGTGGACATCGATGTGAAGAAGGCCCCTGCCCCATGGGGAACTTTTCCGTTGGTAAAGGCTAAAAGGAAACATGTGTTTTAAGATGCCAGGAGTTTCATTCTTTCTGAATATAGTTATCTAAATAAGGAAATGCAGGGGTGCCCATGCAGCAGGAAAACAGCTTTATTTGAAGCTGTCCAGGTGATTAGTGTGATGTAGAAAAGACCAGGATGACCCTAAATTCAGAATTTCTTTCCTGACTCTTGTATACCATTTTAAGAGCTGATGGTATCCGGCCTTTTTGTAAGGATCTTTTTTTGTGTGACTTAAAAGAATACATAGAAGAAAATGGCTCCCAGTTTTGATTTCCATTTTGAAAAAAAAAAAAACAAGTTATTAGGAATGTTTTTAATCATTAAGATGTGGAGATGAGATGGCTCTTTGTTTTAATCTCATTGTTCTGATTCTTTTGAACAGACGAATCAGCAGTAAATATGTATATATTACATTCAGGAAACAGCCTTTTATGGATACAGGTAATTACAAATTCTCACACAAAGTAGAACTTGAAACCATAAGGGTGCATCRGATTGCAGAACATGAGGGTCTTTCAGGACAGATGTGGAGACAGTTGCACACACTCTCTTTTGCTCTTCTTTAAAGCCATTCTTTTACTTGAAGCCTTATTTGGAGGGTGGGTGCCAGCACCCCCTCCCTGCTGTGACAGACACATCCGCTGAGCAGTTGCTAGGTATACAGTCTCTGCTGTTTACTTATTTTAACAGAGTGGGTTTGGAATGGGTAAGTATTCTGGCTGAGAGTAGTAATGTGGACTTTTTGTTGTTGTTACAGGATGTACATCATTTCTCACAGAGAGATGCTCTGTCTCTTCAGTTTGAACCAGTCCTGCTGCCTACTTCTACAACAAACTTTACAAAGATCGCCTCTTTTAGTTGCAAAGGTACACATTTTAAAAATATTGGATTTTTTTTTTTTGTTATCTAGTTGTTTGTTTGGTAATTTTTTCTGTGCAGGTACTCAAACTATAGCTGAGGCATGGTTTTGAAAAAAGCAAATGGGTTTGGTTTTAATAAACCACAGCCCTAATGTTTCTAAGAGATAGGGTGACATCAAAGCTCTTGTTGATGACACGTGTATTTTGCTATATGTATAGGATTTTGAGTTTAAAGCTTAACTTGGTGATTTGTAGGATCCAGAGGTATGTATTTATTGGAGGGGCCACTTTCTCAGGTAGTGTAGTTGTGTAGCTCCAATTTTGTTCTCCCTTTTTTTTTTTTTTTTTTTGCATAGAATGTGATGCAGAATGTCTAGTGACATAAACCCAGTCCTGTCTTTGGGTTCTTACGGTTAAAAAGAGTTCTGTAAAGGAATTCAAAGGGATAGGAAAACATGCCCAGCCTCATTCATTGTTAAAGAAATGTAATTTAAAGCAACAAATGAGATGTAGCTTATTACTTAGATCAATGAAGAGCGAAAGGTCGTTAATATTCTGTGTTGGTAATGATTAGGAAAGAAAACATGTTGAAGTTTTCACTGAAATATAAGTTAATGCAGGCTGTTTTGGAAAGAAAATGGACAGTCTCTAAATATTTAAAATGCACATATGTGCTCTTCAACCCTTAWTTCTAGTTCTAGGAATGATTCTACAGATCTATTCATCTAGTATTCAAAATTGTACCTAGACTTGGTGTGGTAGTGCACACCTATAGAACCAGCTATTTGGGAGGCTGAGATGGGAGCATAGGCTGAGGCCAAGCTAGGCAATACAGYAAGACCCCATCTCAAATGATAGCTACAACTAAAACAAACCTGAACCTGTTCTTTGTGACAACAGAACAATCTAAGGCACCCACTGTTAGATGACTCCTGGAGCTACTGGAAAGTGTCCAAGGATATGCAGTGCAAGCAGTATGTGAAAAGTGTCCACAGGGGCTGGGGATATAGCTTAGTTGGTAGAGTGCTTGCCTCGMATGCACAAAGCCCTGGGTTCAATCCGCAGCACCGCAAATTWAAAAAAAAAAAAGCATCCATGGATCCATGGATACACAGTGCAAGCTGTATGTGACGTGTAGGTATTTGAAAGTGTGTCTGCATGCCTGGACGGTGCTTAAGAAAGTGCCAGCATTTGGCTCTCTTAAGATAATTACAAAGGCTGGGCAAAGTTCACATTAGAATCACATTTTTTATTTGAGTATTTGAATTTCTGTTTTTGCACCGTATATATAACTTTAAAAAGGAGAGTTAAGATTCAACACCAATGAGCTTCATTTTTCACTTTTGTCATCTGGCAGATCTAAGGACTTTCCTCTTATTTATGATGAAGACAGATCTTTGTAAAAGAAATCCCCAAGTAATGACCCACCCCCTCCCATCAGGAAGAAATTAGAGATTGGTTTGGAGTGGGGGAGCGGTGGGAGGTAGACACCATATTCCAGATAACTGGAACAAGCTAGTGGAGATAGACAGGAGCATTTGAGAGAGCATGCTGCCATATATACAAGATTCACTATTTTAATGGTGATAAAAAATGAATTAAAAAGTGATAAATAAAAACTTGGGCTGGGGTTGTAGCTCTGTGGTAGAGGGCTTGCCTAGCCTGTGTGAGGCAATCTTCAGCACCACATAAAAATAAATAAATGTAAGTATTGCGTCYGTCTACAACTAAAAAAAAAATTAAAAAAAAAAAACCTTTAAGAAAAAGTTATAAAAACTATACCTTATTTTTTGTTCAGATTTAATGAAAGAAAATATTTATGCTTCACTTTAAAAAAATTTTTTTTAAATATCTAAAGCAGCTATGTCCTGTGGCAGTGGGATGATAGAAGATGTGAAGAAATCAAAAATCACCCCAACACTAGAAGCATGCCTCTCCTCTCCGGTGGTGCAGGGGTAGGTTCATTCTGCTTTCCCCGAAGTCATATGGGGTTTTTCCTCCCCAGTAGGTCTTCAGAACTATAGCTCAGGTGAGTCCTATGGGTCTTTTCCTGGACTTTCTTTGCTGTGCGTTCACACTGCTGTTAAGCAGGGAGAGGTGCCTTGGCAGAAAGGGAAAGAGTAACTAAATAATTCAGTCTGAAGTAGGTTCTGGGCCAGGCCGCCAGGTGTGTGGGAAGGAGTGCTCAGATGGTGTTTTCTGAGTAGAGTTTGGGTCCTGCTTTTGTCCTGGTAGCTTTTGTCCATGAGCTGCCCTGGTCATGGTGGGGCCACTTTGCCCTGGCCCTCAGGTGTTGCAGGTGTGTACAGATGGTTCAGGAGGTGATTGCTGTGGTGGTTGGCAGCATCCATAATATCTTGTGGCACTCCCCCGTGGGCACCTGGGTCTCCCTGGAGTGCTGTGTTTCTCTGCACTGGGGCTGATGGCGTGCGTGTCTTCTGCTCACAGGTATTTCAGAGTGGACCCTTCTGCAGCCCAGTTTCATGTGGAGAGTCACGAGAACACATCAGGAGTGTGGTCAATATGGTACCTCAACCATTTTGACCGTAACATTGTGTTAAAGGATGTGTTTGTTTCCAAGGAGGCTAGGCACATTTTAAAGGTATGCAATGGTGTTTTTCTTCCAGTGTTAACCTATTTTAAGCTTTGTTCAAAGTCAAATGTGATGAAATTCATATCTATAAAATTTAATTTTGGCTGGGCGTGGTGGCGTATGCCGTTAATCCCAGTGGCTCGGGAGGCTGAGGCAGGGGGATCACAAGTTCAAAGCCAGCTTCAGCAAAAGCGAGGTGCTAAGCAACTCAGTGAGCCCCTGTCTCTAAGTAAAATACAAAAAGGCTGGGAATGTGGCTCAGTGGTTGAGTGTCCCTGAGTTCAATCCCCAGTACCCCACCCCCCAAAAAAAACTCATTAATTTTGACTTATTTTTAAAGCAACTCTTTTTCTTTAAAAACCTTTAGAATTACTTCTAGGATCTCTCTCTTTTTTTCAAACACAGTTGTTTCATGGATCTCAAAATGAGCATCATTATATTCTGTAAGAATATTTACTCTTAACTATTACTCAAAAATGTTATAATACATGATTTCTATAAACAAGATTGTGTATAGTAATTATATACCTTATTTGTGGTAAAATATAGTAGGCTTTTGAAAATGCCATTTATGATCACTTGAAGATTACTTTTGTGAAATTTAAAATACGGGTATATTAAGCAGTATTTGAAACCTATCATTTCTATAAGAAATGTTTCCGTCCTTGATCTGGAATGAATTGAGTCAAATTGTGCTTTTCCAAAATATGGAAGAACTTCAACATCATACTTTGTAATTATTTTAATCCTAATCATTGTTTGGAAAAGTAATCTCTCTTGCTTCTTTTCTTTTTAGATTCTGAATTTCACTGGCCCTTTATTTCTACCTCCAGGCTGTTGGAATATATTTTCTTTGAAACTTGCTGTTAAAGACATTGGCATAAATCTATTCACCAATGTATTTTTGACTACAAACATAGGTGCCATTTTTGCAATACCTCTACAGATTTTCTCAGCACCAACCAAGGTATTGTTTACAACATCATGTGTGTTATAAATTTCTTGATAATTATTGCTTCTTTTTACTTACGGTGCTTGGGTTTTATTAACAGGGTTAAGTTCATGTTCTTTAAGGCCACCTAAGAAATTGAAGGCCATTACCAGGCCAATCTTAGATCAGTTTTTTCAGATTTGGAAATTTTTATTTGGAAAGAGTCTATTTTTCATGAAGCAATTGATTATTGAAAGATAAGCATGTAAATAGATTTCATTTTCATTTGTTTCCAAAAAAAAATTTTTTTTTAATATAGTGGTGCCTTGGATGAAACTCAGGGCCTTGCCTTGAGATAAATCACATTGGTTTAAATGCTTTAGGTAGACCACTTTTTAAGTGACTTTGAGTTTTGCTTATAATCCTTGAATTTTCTTAAATGGGACAAGTCGAAAGCCTAAGAGTTCACAAGAGAATGTTTTCTAAAATCTGGGTAAAKTGTGTTTAATTTAGATTATCTTAATCATGTCTCATTTTTTTTCTTAACGTTTTATTTCTTTTCATTTACTTATTATTGCTTCCTTTTGATCCAAGCTATTCTATATAATATTGGGTTCTAATTTTTCACTATGAGACATTCATGCAACCATCTTTATGATTTTTCTCACTTATTGGTGTTGATATTTTATAGTTAGAAATGTTCATGTTTAGGCTGTAAGTGTGAAGGTAGGACCTTGCAAATCAAACTTGACAAAAAATGTAAAGCTAATTTCATTTATCCATATTTTGAGCAGGGAAGATTTCTTAGAAATTTCCTTTTTCTAAACAAGAGATGCATATAAGAAGAGTGACCAAGGGAGGGAGCAGGAKGCAGGTTTCAGGTGCATGAGGAAGTAGCAAGTCTGTTCTTCCCCAAACTGAGAAGTGGGGCATTAAATGCCCTGAGTAGCAAGAAGTTCTTTAGATGGATAAACAGTTTCTCAGAGGATTAGAGGACAATTAAAAACAAACAAAAAACCAAAAAGACAGAAGCCACTAGGAATGTCCTGAGACTAATTTCATCTTTAATTCACGTGACAGCGCTGTGTCTTGTGGGCCCAATGGTTGTCATTATGGGCTGTAATGGTTGTRCAGGATCTGCTCTAGTGGCCCTTCTGGGAGAGATGGCGCCGAGTTCTCAGAACAGATTCAAGGAGAAAGGAAACCAAGACCTCACTTTCTAGTTGTTTGACATCTGGTTAAAGGGGAGTTCACTGAGGAGGAGGCCAGTGTCTGCTTCGTATTTTAGTGCATTGGGATTTTTATRTTGAGTGTTGTGTTTTAAGTTATTCATATATTACTTTTCAATCTAGGAAGGGAGTCTGGGTTTTGAAGTGATAGCACATTGTGGCATGCATTATTTCATGGGAAAATCAAAAGCAGGTAAGTATTTTGCCCTTAGGCTTTCTGTAGAACTCCAATTTGGGGGAAGTGGGAAGCAGTGAAGGATGTTAGCATTTGTAGATGGAATAATTTTTTTTTTCAAAAGTAATTGCATCATATTCTGTTCTTAGCTTAATCACTGACAGAACAACCTGAAATTGTTAGAGTCCTCCAGACACACATAGGGTACTGTGTAAATAATGCCCTCTTATTCCTAAGTAGCTTATGCTTTTTTAAGGGATTTTTTTAAAAAAAATATTGTTTGATCATCATAGCAGCCTTGTCACCAGGAAAAATTAGAAAATTATGATTCTTTTGTAAAAGAGCATAAATGATAGAGTCATAAACATATCATAGGCAGTGCTGATCATGATGTGTGACAGAGGCCATTAGTGTTGTTACGGAAGCAGTTTCTAACTTGGGGCTTTATTTTTTTTTTCATTTTGATTTATTAAGATAATTAAGAGTTTTAAAGGACAGATGTTTCTTTTGGGAGAGTCCTTTTCTTACTGATCCCCTCTTTAGCACAGAGCAGATGARTAGGGTGAGGTGAACAACATGCACCTTGTAGAGGATCAGCTCCTGGTCTAGGCRGGCTTTTCCCTCTGTACTCTACAGTATGTGGAAAGACTCAAGACAGTGATGAGGAACATGTCCATGGAAACAGTTTTGCATTTTAGATTTAAAACTGTTTAAAATGTTGCAAGTATAATTTTAACTTGTTTCAGGCTGTATTCATGAACCATGTGTCTTTTATGTTAATGCCTTTACATAATCGATTTGGTTTTGTTTTTTACATGTTTGTTTAATTTGATATATCATTTGCCATTGAGTTAGAGGGACTTTTAGTAAAGAAGAGAGGAGAAGAGTGGCATCGATYCACTCTATCGTCCTCTCGGTTTGAGAAGTCTAACGGTTAGTTGGTGGTATTATTAACGAATTGAGTCGTACTTTCTGTAAATCTAAATATTGAATCTGATCTAACTTTTAGAAAACCCTAATTGGGATGGGGCCCTTTCTCTGGATTGGTCTACCTGGGATGTGGATTTGGAACTTGCAAATAACTTGTATGAAAGTTGGAAGAAACACAAGAGTGGCAGAGTCTGCAGGTGTGTCTCTCATCTTCCTCTCTCTGTTGTTGAGCAGTGGGAAGACTACCACATGGTCCTTTTTTCAAATTGCACTCCTTAATTTTTGGTGGTTGATGATATTTCTATCTTTTTATTTTGACAAAGTTTCACATCTTAGAAGAGCTGCAGGGTTAGTGCCTTGACCCCTCACATGGTCCTTGGCTCCAGATTGTCCCCTGTGTTCCCATTTTACCCCCTCCCTCCCCCCACCCCCACTCTCTGTGTATACCTGTGTTCACATAGTCGCACTTTTTGCTGAGTCATTTGAAAGTGAAGCTGTAAATATCACCCTGCTCCAGCCCTCGATATCTCATTAGGAAAATCTTCATTATTAGCATACTTCAGTCCTCTGTGCTTTATTAGGAAAGTGCTGTTATTCTACTTCAGCCCACAGTGCTTTCTTGGGATGGTTATTTCCTGAGGAGGGTATTCTCTTAACTGTACCAYCATTCTGTCCCCAGCCCACTCAATAATGACATAATTGTGTTACCTAATAGGCAGTCTGTATTAAAATTATCCTGACTGACCCAGCAACTCTATTTTTGTCTTTTTCCTTTCTTGTAGACCAGGWTCATTTGACTGTCTTGGTTTTTTGGTAGCCTTTAGACTAGTACCCCATTTTTGTTCAGTTTTCATCATGTTGACAAGTTTTGTCGAATCCAGGCCAGTTGTAAGAACATTCCACACTATCAGTTTTTATGCTTGGTTCCTCAAGTTTCCATTCAGGCTAAACATTTTTAGCAAGAATGTGAATTACCTGGTTGATCTTGTATATTATTGTGTCCTTTCAGGAGGTATGTGAATGTTAATCTGTCTGTTTTAGCACGGTTAGGGTGAATTATGTGGTGTAGCTGATGTGTGACAGGTCTCTCCACATTCGGCACCTTTTTCCTTTAGTGATTAATCAAAAGCTGGGTTGTGATAATCTGATATCATTTACCCTTGCCATTCCCTAAAGACCCTTCATCCCATGGTTTTAGAATTCAAGGAATATCACTGTCCGAATCAGTGACATTAGCCTGATGGCTGTAAGATGGGGAGGGATGTTTCCATTTGTCCATTCTACAATTATTGTGAGATATTGTTTTGTTTGGTTTTTAAAAAAGAGCCTCTCTTTTTCCAGCATCCCTATAGTTTTGTTAGCATGTTGTACTCGGTTATTGTCTTTATAGCTTTTGATGCTCAATTGTCCCAAGTTTGGCATGGGGGCCCTTCAGCGTGGCTTGTGTGTCTTTCTGCTAYATCGTCATCATCCTCGGAGCCTTTCATGCTCTCCATGGGAACAGAACATTCTAGGTTGAGTGGTTTGGGGGAATTGCCAGGAATTGAGCCAAGACCCCATGCCTGCTAAGCACACACCCTGTCACCGAGCTGTGCCCTCAGTCCCCACAGAGAGTCAGTCTGAGACCTTCTGCTTCCYAAACCCAGCACAAGCCATTTTCCCCAGGACCCTTTGTTCCTTGTGGTGGGAGTGGTGTTGAATGGTTTTCCTTTTGAATGTCAAAATTATTTTCCAAAATAATTTCTTTGCACAGGAGGAACGTTTTAGGAATGATGCGTTTCGCCCACTCGAAGAAACCCAAGGAGTCAGAGTCCTTTGTTTCCGTTTTGCCTCGTTTGGTTGCGGAGCCTGGCCTTGTGTTAAACTTCAGCGCCACTGCCCTGAGGAACAGTGTGGTGAGGACAGTGTGTTCTTCCCCTGTCTTTGCCAGTGACGCCACAACGCTGAGGTCTTCAGAACACCAGAGTAATTGTGCCTGGAGATGTTTCAGAACCAAAATCAATTTAAAGTCCACACTTTAATGCTCTAAGGGCACCTTGAGTAAGGCCCTACAGAACAAGRGGAGTGAAATTTTAAGGAGACAGAGAATACATTGAACAAAGAGATTTGGAATTGAATATGAGCTTCCTAAATAAAATGTAGGAGTTAAAACATTCAGCTACTGAGCACAGAGAAGATCTTGGCTAACGCAGGACTTGRGTTTTATAACCAGAACTCAAAGGAAGTCCAGAGTGAGCCAAGGCTGCTCTGGTGACGGTGGGGACCTAGGCTCCGCCCGTCTGTGTACTTTCTATCCTGAGTGTGTTGTCCTCCTTCCTTGTGGATGCTATCTTCCGTCCACCCAGGGTGTCAGGAGGCRGGACAAAGGGAAAGAGGTGCCACCAGCAGACTTCCCTTTAGGTCTCATGGCCAGGAACTGCCTTCACACATGCGCACACCTTAGTAGGTGCTGGTTGAGTTCTCGGGGATGACCACCTAAGACTGCTTTTGCTTTTCCTTTTCACTTTTCGTTTTGAAGTCATTTCTCCCCAGAGAAAAGTTCTAAGAATAGCACCAAGMACTCCTCCCAGTAGTGGCCCTTCCCCAAGATGAATCGGTATTTAATGTTTGCCGCGCTTGCTTGATCWTGGTTCCCTCTCCCTTTTCACATGTACATATTTGAGCGGATGAGACATGAGCCCCCCCTAAAMGTATTTTCCTATGTAACCAGAATATAATGATCAAAATTATAAAATGAAGTATCAACCTAATGTTACCCAGTGTACAGTCTGTATTCTAGTTTCTCCAGGGAGTTCACTGTCACCACTCATGGTGACTTTCCTCCCTCCTGGCTCAGGATGACCCCAGGATCTGACCGCATTGTCATGGTAGTCCGAGTCTTTTCTGATATTCCCATCATGTCTTTGCCTTTCATGACGTAGCATTTTTTTCTCTTCTTTTCCCTTTGGTGCTGGGGATCAGTCCTGTGCAGAGCTTTTGCTCTCCCACGAAGCTACACCCTCAGCCCACATGGACATTGAAAAAAACAAAACTTTTGTAGTTGGAGGTGGCCAGAATGCCTCTATGTACGTTTCTTTTTTTAATGTGGTGCTCTAGGCACGTGCTCTGCCTCGGAGCTCCAGCCCCGCCCACACACGGACATTTTCTTGAAGGGTTCGGGCCGTTCATTTTCTAAGCTGCCCCTCTGTTGGAGCTGTGCGTAGTTGCCATGAGATTCAGGAGTGTCTTGGGAGGATGCTGTGTCCCTCGCTGTGTTCACCCTCCTCTCCTCGCGTCTAGGTGAAGTACTTTATGGTGAGGAACCCCTCCTCRCTGCCAGTCTCCCTGCAGCTCCTGCCTCTCTCCTTGTACCCGAAACCCGAAGCCGCGGCACGCCTGCTGCACAAATGGTAGGAAGACCCTCTGGTGGGCAGTTTGGGAAACACCCTTAGGACTCAGAATTGTTGGAAGGCCTGTGCTGCCTTCTCCCAGGCTCTGGATGTGGGCATGCACACTGTGAACCCATCAGCCTGTGTATCTGGGGTGCCCTGTCCCTGGGTGCAGGTGTTCAGTGGATGTTCCTGGCTCTGGGTGTTACCTGGCACCTTCCCTGTCACTGGCTTGGGTCTATAGCCCAACAGAGCATTTTTGAATTAGGGAACCTGTATCGTTATGCTTTTCCATGCATATTTCTAAAATTGAAAATCTAAATCATGATGATCTTTGGTTAATTCAGGAATGAGTTTAAAGCCAGGGTCAGTGGCATATCCATAATCCCAGCTGCCCGGGAGGTTAGGGCAGCAGGACTGGAATTCCAGGCTAGCCTGGGCAACTATCAAGACCCTGATTCAAAATAAAATAAGAGGGCCATGGGTACAGAGAGGAATACAGTGTTTGCTTAGCATGCACAAGGCCTAAGGTTCAGTCAGTAGTGCCACAAAAAGAAAGACAGATTTAGTGTTCTTGTATATTCTACTCTAGAGTTACAAAACAAGAGAATGATAGTATTTTTTCATGCCTATTGTATCTTGTTTTCACATAATCACACTTTTATGTAGACCGTTAGTAACTTTTCGTTTAGGAAGATGTGCCATTGTCCCCAGATTTCTCAACTTCAGCAATGTTGACATTTTGGGGCAGATGATTCTTTGTGTATTGGAGGAAGAACTGTCTTGTATAGTGAAGGCTGTTCAGCAGCTTTCCAGCTTCTACCTCCTAAAGGGCTTCCCCAGCCACAGCATCCAAAATGTCTGCAGACGTTGCCAAATGTTTTGGGGTGGGGATAAAATTGCCTTTGGTTGAGAATCACTTCCTTTTGGGTTTCATAGCTATGAACCATTTGGAGAAGAAATAAACAGCTTTATACTTAGCACTTTTGTCTCCATATGTTTCTGTACTGCCAAGGAGCATGTCAGAGTCACTCATTGAATAAGATTCATTGAGCACTTGGAGTAAACCAGATATGGGTGGGTGTGGAAGCAGGGCTGAGAACAGGTAGTGTCAAGACAGGATGAGTTGTTTATGCACGCACACATGCATTCCTGTGTGTAAATGTGCATGTGCATAAGCATGTATTATGTATTCATTCTTCATTGGCAGATCTCAATGCTATTTTAAACTTAAATTTTTTTTTTTTTTTTTTTTGCTTTGTAGGTTTGGCACTGATATGCAGACGATTAATTTCACAACTGGTGAATTCCAGCTCACCAAAGCTTGCTCTTACCGGGTAGGATGGCATTTTCAGTAGAAAAAAGAATGTTGACAAACTGGCCACAGAAGCAAGTGGCCCATCTCTTGGTGTTCAGAGGGCTGTGTGAACTGTGTGTTGCTTTCTTRTGTTCATTCTCTAGGCATGAAAGACGCATAGCAGGTTTTTCCAATTAACTAGTTAGAGTCAGATTCCTGTTCGTCTGTAAATCATTTTGATGATTTAGATGCACGTGAATGAAGAAATAACAATGGAGTCAGACCTATGTAGAAAACCATAAAACTTGAGACTCCAGAATTTATGATCTCATAAGATTCCTTGGCCCACTTAATTCTTTTTTTTTTTTTTTTTTTTTTTTTTTTTTTTAGGGCAAGATAAGGTAAAAGCAAATGCATTTTTAAAATCTTCTCTTACTGTCATCCTTCATGTTTATAGCAAGTCACCCAATTTCTTTGGTTCTCATCTCACTTATAAAGGGATTTTCCATCTTAAGGGGCAATCTTGAGGTCTTTTCAGATACTTAGGAGTAAAAATGTCACGTGGCGAGGACATTTGTGAGCGTAGGGACTCAGCAGCCTGATTTCTTATTTTTCATTCAGTAGTTCTCATATTGCTGAGTCTTGGTTTCACAGATATTGTATGTTTGAAATCAATTCAAAAGGGGAGCATCTGTTATAAAGAATGCACACACATAGAGGTACATGCACACTTAATATGTTGGATATTTTCTTCTCTATCCCTTTAAAAGTATACTATTGCTCTAGCTTAACTGGAGTAATGGGAAGAGGACCACAGAGAGTTCAAACAAAACAAATGAAAGCAGATTTCCAAGTGGATTTTTGACAGAGACTTGTTGACAGTAGTAAGCATGTGAAGTGGTCTAGGCAGCACTGCCAGGGTTGGAGCCTGCACTGGGGTATGGTTTTGTTCTCCTTTGGAAGCCCAGGGTTCCTGACATTTTCTACCAGGCAGTATCTAGAGTATGGGGGGCAATTAGTCCAAAATACTAAGAGATGTTTTGCCATACTGGTATTAAATTATATGTAGTTTGAAATTGAAAAAATAAGGCCATTTTCTTTTATATCTGAATATTCTAGTTATATTTGAACGCATAATATAGCTCATTTGGAAAAACCTGTGTAGATTTTTCCTGAGAATATCATACCTTGTTGCGGGGCATGCACTCTGTAGCAACTTGGGAGGCTGAGGCAGGAGGATCACAGGTTTGAGGCCAGCTTCAGCAACTCATTGAAACCCTCAGCAACTTAGTAAGACCCTGTCTCAAAATGAAAAATAAAAAGGACTGGGGGTGGAGCTCAGTGGTAAAGTGCTACTGAGTTCAATCACTGTAGCAAAAAAAAGAATGTCACACTTTTGCAATAAGGAAAATTTTGACCAYTGTTAACTTATTATATTGTCAAAAAGAATAGTATCAGTGCCGTGAAGACACTCAATTTTAATAAAAATTGTTAAAACTCTTTGTAGGGTAGAGAAAGATTCTTAACATTGTAATTTTTTTGGTTTGCTTTAGAAATACAGTCCTTTTGATCAATTTCATTATGTCCCAGTGTCCTATGTATATAAAAACCTAAATTGAGCAAGTTTTTATGGGTGTTTTATATATAGGATCCTAGGATTTAATGGGTTGAGTATATGGAATTGGACACTCAAAGTTTCGAATCCTGGTTTTTCCATGCTTCACCTGTGTAACCTTGCTTGGACAAATTATTTAACCTCTCTGAGCCTCATCTTTCATGTTTGAAGATTTCCAGTAAGCTTTGTAAAATAGATTGTTTGGTATTTTTACATTTTCTTAAGTAGTCCAATACCTGAATACCTGGCATGCACCTACCAAAAAAAAAAAAAAACATTTAATTAAATGGTGTTATAATTACTATAAATTTAATACCAGAAATCAGCAACATTTTTGTTCAGTGTTTTAATTCTGTGTATAAAGCAGGGTTTTCTGCTCCCTGGAGTTCATAGTTCTAATGAATGAATCAAATACCGTCACCATTTATTCTTTTCAGATAGCATGGGACGTGAGAGCAAGACTTGAAGAGTTCCACAAGTTTAAAAGTTGAAAACATAGGAAACATGAAATACTCCTGCAGCTTGTAGGACGACAGCTCTAAAAAATAGTTTCTAGAGAGAAGGCAGCAGGAAGATAAAGAATTAAATCTCAAATATTACAATTTAGAACATGAGATTTTTCAGAGAAAGAAATCTTGGAGAATCCAGAGTAGAGGAGGATGTGAAGAAATAAAGATCTTTCTCTTGACTGGAGAGACTGAATATAAAAAAAGATGGTTTCTTTATATAAACTTAAATACAGTATTTAAAGGTATCTTAGGGTTGTCCAGCAGAGGGTGGGTGGTCTTTTCATATTGCTTGGGCAAAGACATATTTGGACAGAGACATTCTGGTCAGTTTTCTGATTGATGTTTTCCATTTGAAACATCTCTGTATGGAGGACTTCTAACCTCAACTCCCATCCAAGCCAAGAAGCAGATCCCCTTCCCAGCATTGGTTTCAGATTGCCCTGCAGCCTCTGCCTATCAGCTTAGGAACATTTTATCATGTGAAGAAGTCATCAGGATTAACAAGTTCAGATAGGTGGATGGGGGCCTTGGAGTAGAGCTTAGCGGTAGAGCGCTGGCCTATCCCGTGTAATATGTGATGTCCTGGGTTCATCCCCCAGCACCCCTACCCGCCACATGCACACAAAGTTGATGAGATTGGTCAGATCTGGAAGTTAAAACAAAAGCCATGATGTTTATACCCCACAATGCACTTAATGAACATGGAAACTTGCTCTGTGGACAACTGAGTGGTTTAACTGTGTTGTTGGTAATCTGCAGGGTGTGCATTCTGAGGAACCCAGGTCTGGCACCCTCCACTTGCACTTGCAGCCTTTGGAAATGAAAAGGGTTGGTGTAGTCTTCACCCCGGCTGACTATGGAAAAGTTACCTCACTCATACTGATCCGGTAGGTGTGTCCCTGTCACAATCTGTCTGTCTGTCTCAATCTCTCTAGTGGTTGACATGCACTTCTCAGGCATTCTGTAGTGAAGAGGTTGTGCTGCAGGATAGAAAGCTGCAGWGGAGAGGGGCCATCAAGGTACCTCGGTTGCCCTCTCCTAATAGAGAACGTGTCTCATGCCTACAACGGGTTACTGCACTTTACTCAGCATCTCGCCCAGTGCAGAGCTCACACACATACACGTGCACACTGATAGACTGCTCTGTCCTTAGCATAGAAAAATAATTGAAATATAATTGAAATTTTGCCCTTTGTCTTTTCCTTGAACAGTATTTGAGCATAAATCACTTCAAGACATGTTTTCCTTATGCTCTTAGCTCTTGTTCCCTCTTCTAAATGCTAACTGATTTAAGCAGCTAAATCAGTTTCAACTTAAATTTTTTTTTTCATCTTTAGGTCGTCTTTCTGAGAGTCTTCTTTCAAAAATATACAGTAAATAACAGACCTCTGTTGAAGCTCTCTGCATTGGTGATAAGCCAAACACAAATGGCATTTTTAATAAACGACATTTTAGTGATTTTTAAAAAGTTTTTCTAGTATCAGATCAACTGGCCCCCCCCAAAAAAATTCTTATAACTTCACTTAAAGTTTGTTCTTCTACAAGTGAATATTACCAAAAAGAAAGTGTGCTAAAATAAACTTAAGAATTTGTTCTTTTAAGCCTTTTAACTAGGATTCCTTAATGCCCTGTTGACTTATGACAACTTTAAACTTATTAGTGTTGAAGAGCTAAGGTCATAGGAAGTGCAGAGATAAACTTCACTGTCTTAGACTCAAAAAGAAAGTCTAAATTTTTAATAGCAGTTCTTTCACTTTGGGTGGTTTCTGTATTGATAGACAAAATATTTTTCCATTAATATTATCCATCATCTAAGGCCTCATCACTTTAAGCCTTTTAAGTGGTTAAATATTTGTTGGGATATTTCAGTGTTATTTTGTATAATTCTTGTTATTTTGTATAATTCTTGTTCTGTGGCATCTACATTATACTGGCTTTCAGTTTAGTATGTATCATTTAAACATCATTTTCACTTAATTTTTTCATCCTAGAAATCAGGGTTTCAGTTAATGAAAATGCAGACACTCATTACTATTTGATAAGAATTTGACTTAGATGTATGCTGTTTGTGGGGTAAAATCTTAAATCTTGGAATCAAAAGAAACAATAGCATCTTATTATTTTAGACTCATCCCTAAGGCAGAATGTCTTTTTGTCACAATTACTATGAAATATCCCAATTCACCCTGTAAATAGTTTTCATTATTTTGTCTAAACTTATTACTATTTGTGTCTACTAATTTATTTCTCTTTGGTATCTGATCACCACCCTGATGCCTATTATTAAAAAAATCTGAGGTTCCATTTGTGGCCCGTGGCTAGAGAGCAGTCATGATTGCTCACCAACTCCTGCTGAGGTCAGCTTCATGGATGCTGCTGCCCTGGGCCGCTTCCTGTGCCTGTGGCCACCCTTATTCTGTTGGATGGCAGGAGGTGCCATGCTGTTTAAGTTGATTCTTTTTGAGTGCACTGTACCTGGTAACGGGGAGGTAATCCCTTTTAATTTTATCTCCTTTCGCTGTAGGAATAACTTGACTGTTATTGACATAATYGGTGTGGAAGGATTCGGAGCAAGAGAACTACTGAAAGTGGGTGGAAGGCTTCCTGGTGCAGGGGGTTCACTTCGATTTAAGGTGCCTGAGTCCACGCTGATGGACTGTCGCCGACGTGAGTGCACATGCTTGGCTGTCTGATGGGAGGCCTGGTGTTAAAGCCGAGAGTGAAAGGATGCTATAGGAAGATTATTTTTAAAATGTGTAGTAAATTCATTCTGTTGATGAAAATAATTAAATCAGGCCAACATTTGAGCATATGTAGGCTGGTACCCTAGGTCAAAATAGTAGCTTTAGATATTTAGCTTAAATRATAGCTATGAGAGGTATTCAACTTAAGTAACAGATACAGAATGYGGAAAAGAGTGTGTTATTTAAGTAATATTGTTTAATTAACAGTATAGGTTCAAATTTTTTTTTTAGAGAATTTTTTAATATTTATTTTTTAGTTTTTCAGTGGACACAACATCTTTATTTTATTTTTATGTGGTTCATTTTTCATTTGCTAAGATACACATATGAGGCTGTTAATTTCGCTAAAGAGAATCAGACCAGTGATGAGTGGAGAGAACCAACAGAACTTTTCGTGATGATGGGAATATTCTGTGTCTGGGTTGCTGGAGAAAGGGAAGGAAAAACCAGCTCAAATTCAGTGGCTCTTGCCATATGTTCCCACCACAGGTCACTCCTGTGACCTCAGAAGGTGTGGGGTTTCTCTGCTCCAGCAAGCAAGCATTCTGCATCAGATGGCGTCCGATCACACAGGTTGGGGGCTCAGCTCCCAAGACACTCCCTACTTTAGACCCCAGGACCAGGCCTCAGGAGCTTCTACATGCCTGGCCACAGTTGGGGTTCCCACAACACCCTCCTCAGGTTAGATTAACTTGCTAGAGTGTGTCCCAGAACTCAGGGACGTGCCACGCTGTTGGTGATAAAGGATTTTTTTAAAGTATATAGGCAGAGCGGCCAGTTGAAGAGATACGTAGAGCCGGGTGTGGAGGGGTCCGGAGTGCAGCAACTTCTGTCCCTGTAGAGTTGGGGTGCCTTGCCCTCCCGACATGTATGTTGCTCATTCTCTTCCCCATAGCCTGTGTTCAGCCATCCAGAAACTCCCCAAACCCTGTGTTTTTGTGGAGACTCTGTTGCACGTCCGTGATTGAAGCATGGACACTGGTGTCAAAATTGCTTAGACAAAAAGGATATGACCTCGTCAGTGGGCTTAGTGGGGAAGGCCAGTAAGGTCTGTGTGCTCAGCTGCCTCGTGGCCTCTCGGCGCAGCCCTCCTCAGGACCCCTCCGGAATGAGGAGGGTCTTAGGACCTACCGTTGGATAAGGAGAAATTAGAGAGTGCTTTTCTTTATGGCCAGGTCAGAGATAGAAAGACAGGGAAGATCTATGCCTTAGGGAAGAGAAATTCTAGTTTCACTGACCTTCCTTGAGCAGGGATGTTATAAGCCAGAAACCATAGTAACAAATGGATATCACAATCATATGTGTCATTCAACACAGTAGCCACTGACCACATGTGGTTAATGAGCCCCTAAAATATAGCTCGTGGGGCAATCCCTGTTGGGGGGCTCCTCTTGCCCCTGTAAGAGTTCTGTTCCTGTTCTTTACGCTTGAACAAATACTATTCCTTTCAAAAAGAGAATAAACACATAAAAGTAAAATATGACTCCTGTGACTGACAAAGTTAGTTTTAAATTTATTATTATATTTTTGGTACTGGGGATTGAACCCAGGGCACTTTGCCACTGATCTATATTCTCCGTCCTTTTAGTTTTTTATTTTGAGACAGAGTCTTGCTAAGTTCCTGAGGCTGGCCCTGAACTTGGCAGTCCTCCTGCCTCAGTCTCCTGAATTGCTGAGATTATAGGCATGTGCCACCATGCCTGGTAGTTTAAAATTTATTTAAATTGTTTGACTAGCTACATGTGTTTAATGGCTATTATATTAGACTATACTTATTTAGGAATATATTAGGGGCTAGGCATATAGCTCAGGGGCAGGACACGAGCTTAGTACGAGTGAGGTCCTATATTTAAATCTTCAGCATCCCCCAGAAAAGAAATATATTGACATTTTGCCCTAGAAATTTCTAAATTACTCATTTAAGTTAAATGCCTTAAAGCCATTTATGTTTATTTTGAGGACTTCCTGAATAACTAAAACAGATATCAAACAAATAGTAGATGTAAAGTGTTTCTGGTAAATTGTTTTCCTATTAACTTTTTTAAAGTTTGAAAATACTAAAAGCATTTTAGTTGTAGCAGTCTTTTCTACAGAGAAATCTGGTTGATGAAACTATTGGATAATTTGTGGCACTATCACTGCTCAATTAGAATYGTTTTCTTTAAGAAAACTATGTTTTACAAGTGAGCACTGACTTCAGAAAGGTTTGCTAGCAATTTCGTTTTCAAAATTCTCCTTGAAAGTGTTCATTTTTTCATTTGCTCAGTAATTTAGAGTTGACTCCGAGTGATTAAATTAAGGAGTGATAGAAAAGTGATGGATCCAGTTAAATATTAGTCCTTACGTGGAAGAGACTTGRTAATTTATAGTCCTATTTAAAATTTGTGACTTCTTCAAACTCCATATATAAAATATGCTCTCATTTATTTGTAAAGGCTTAATTACATGTTAATATTGTGTTTGCACTGTTTCTAGTAATGGATGAATTTACACAAAACACATGTTATGTGCTCTTACTATTGGTTCAGTCTGAATGAAAATCACAGGGCACACAAGGTACATGATGGCTAGAGGTAAATACACACTGTTTGACTCTGAGAARAATAAACCTTTAACCTTAATCTTTAATAATTATGTAGGCACCTAGGCTAAATGTTCAACTTAAAAAACATTTTCCATTGTATCCTGGTTACATTAACAGAACCTAGATATAACAGGATCAGAAATTCTGATTCTAAAAATAAAAAATTGTACTTGGAGCTTATGTTGGACTTTTCTCACATTTTAATTAATAATTCATTTTAATTTAATAATTCAGTAAATTATTTTAAGTAAATTTCACTGTTCATATACATGAAATAAAACTTTTGTCTTCATCAGAACTTAAAGACAGCAAGCAGATTTTATCTATTACAAAGAACTTTAAAGTYGAGAATATCGGGCCTCTTCCTATAACTGTGTCTTCACTGAAAATCAATGGATATAATTGTCAAGGTTATGGCTTCGAAGTGCTAGACTGTCATCAGTTTTCCCTGAACCCAAACACATCCCGTGATATCAGCATTGTGTAAGTGCTGGGTTTTAACTTCATCTCAGTTTTGTGGGGATTTAACACTGGAGACAGGGTGGGGTGAACTTTTTCCATTATTATGACTTCTTAAGTTGGATTTAGGGTAAGTATTTGTTTTATAAAAGTAAGAAATTTTCTGAGATTTTTTATTTTTTATTTTTATTTTTTTACTTTATGATTAAAATTAAAACCATTACAAGTTCATAAAGGAGAATTACTTGTTATCAGGTTTACGCCGGACTTTACCTCTTCCTGGGTCATTCGTGAGCTGACACTTGTAACTGCAGCAGACTTGGAATTCCACTTTACTCTCAATGTGACCCTGCCCCATCACCTCTTGCCCTTGTGTGCAGATGTGGTTCCAGGACCCAGCTGGGAAGAGTCATTTTGGAGGCTCACGGTCTTCTTTGTCAGGTAGACCACCACCTTCTCCGCTGTTCTTCCCTCACTGAGCAGTGAAGTTGTAGGGCAGCTGCATGAAAATACAGGTTGCCCAAGTGCAGTCAAAGCATAGGAATTGAGTGATATTTTTCTTGCTTCAAGAACTCTGATGTGCATGAGGTAGACAGGGTCATAACCAGTAAGCTTTCAGATAATAAACTAAGAGATTCATAGGTCTTACAGCGTAATAGTTATGCTCCATATATGTTCATTGGCAGTCATTGTGGAATATCTGAATGCTTATTAGCTCAGCACAGTGACAATTTGAGATTATAAGACCCAAATGACCCTTTTGAAGTGATTTTATCCTAGAATAATGCTTAAAATTGAACTGTAATGTCAGCCTTATATAAATTTACACATTTTTACTGTTAAGAAACATCAGAAATTGTGATGTTTCTTGATATTTGAATACCATTTTGTCCCATCGATTATTCATAATCCTTCTATAATAAAACTAGTCTTTCACTCCCCACCTTCCTTTTAAACATGGGATCTYGCTATATTGCCCACGCTGGCCTCAAACTCCTGGGTACTTTCAAGTGATTGTCCTGCCTGAGCCTTGCATGTAGCTGGGACTACCAGCACTTAGCACCACATCCAGCTTAAAACTAAACTCGTCTTTTAAATGAAATTCAGAACCACACAGTAATGAATGTCATGTTGCTTTCTCAGTTTGTCTCTGTTAGGTGTGATTTTAATAGCCTTCCAGCAAGCACAGTACATTCTTATGGAATTCATGAAAACAAGACAGAGGCAAAATGCCAGCTCCTCCTCACAGCAGAACAACGGGCCAGTGGATGTAATCAGCTCCCATTCTCACAAGTAAGAACCCTTGTTTTTTTTTTTTTTTTTTGTGTGTGTGTGTGTGTTGGGGAGGGCTGATCCCACCTTTCTTACTGCTCACTTCTGATTTTATTTGAAGGTAATGTGAATTCAATTCCAAATTTGCTTTCTTTGGGTCATCGTATGAACAGCTGCACCATTTCCTTTCTTAGGTAATTTTCACGTAAGGGCCTAGTTCATGGGTGTCATGGGGCAGAAACCCCACAGGCCCAAGGCAAAGGGGAGGTAGAGCTCCTTAACACATGCGTACCTGCATGGTTGCCTCCTCTGTCTCGTGGTGCAGAAACAGAGAAGTATGGTTTTATCTGGTTTGCCTTTATGTTAAATGTCTTTCATCTTAAATTCAGAAGCAATTGCAAAAACTTTCTCGACACGTACGGCCCTTCTGATAAAGGCAGAGGGAAAAGCTGCCTTCCAGTGAGCACCCCGCCCAACAGGGTCCAGAATGCTGCCAAGAGGAGCCCGGCCACCTACGGTCACTCTCAGAAGAAGCATAAGTGCTCAGTGTACTACAGTAAACACAAAACCAGCGCGTCCCTGGCCAGCAGTGCCAGCACTGCTACTGAGGAGAAACAGACTTTGTCCCTGGGTGGCTCCCTGTCTGCTGCTAAAGAGGACATTTGCACCGATGTCATGGGTGAGAACTGGGTYAGCCTCAACTATGCAAATGGCATGAGTGTCAACCTGCAGAAGAATTTAACCCTCCCCAAAAACTTATTGAATAAAGAGGAAAACACACTGAAAAACACAATTGTTGTCAATAATACTTCTTCAGAATGTAGTCTGAAGGAGGGAATACAGACATGTATGTTTCCTAAGGAAACTGACATTAAAACTTCAGAGAACATAGTCGAGCTCAAGGAACGAGAGCTCTGTCCCCTGAAGACCGCTAAGAAACTACCTGAGAATCCTTTGCCAAGAAACTCACCTCAGTTCCACCAGTCAGACTTGCCAGAAATGTCCAAGAAGCATAATGGTAATCTTTTCTTCCTCCTCATTTCTTCTCTCCGTTTTGCCCCCTTGTCATTCGGGATGGGATCCGTTCTCACCTGTGACCTTTAGTTTTAATGGTGGATGCCGAGTGTTCTAGTTCCTACGTCGTGTAAATGTTGAAATGTGACTTGTGAAATGCAGAGTTTTAAGACAAGGCACCCAGGTTTTAGAATGTTGTGGCTAGGAGGTTTAATTGTAGTACAGAAGTTCAGAGGGGTGTGAATGTCGAATTTTACTGTTGGGAGGATATGGACGCCTTTTTCTAATTGTTTGTTTTTAGCTTCTCAGTCTGTTTGCAAACATTAATTAGTCCCTGCAGTGTTTCCGACTGAACAGAACCTCACCAACCAACCAGCTAACTAACATTTATTGATTGATGGATACTATGTCATGGTCCCTAGTCCTTGGTTCTTCTCGGAGAGCACCCATCTGTTAAAAGAAGACAAGTGTTCTCATGTAGCAAATACAGTTAGTGGAAGTACARCTAAGCTCAACTACGTTAATGTTGGCATCACATCTGAGCTGATCCCTTGGTCCCGTGGCAGAAGGTCCTGTGTCCTCTCCCCTCTCTTCCCTTCTTCTCTTTCTCTTCCCCCTCTCTTCCTCCATCTGACCATTTTAATGTACACATTCTTGTACCTGTTGGAAAAAACTCCRTTGCCTTTGGTCTTAATTTGAAACATCTAAATACAAATAATCGTGTTAGCCAGCTTCATGTGATTGCAGTGAAATACCTAAGGCAATTAACTTAGTGAAGATTTATTTAGCTCATGGTTTTGGAGGTTCTAGTTCAAGATCAGATGTCGCCGTTGCTTTGGGTCTCTGGTGAGGGTCTCTAGTGGAGGTGCCAGTGATGGGGAGTGCTCATCAGAGCAGTTGCTCATATCATGAGCCAAGAAGCGAGGAAGATACTGGGGTCCCGTAATCGCCTTTGAGGGCATGTTCCCGATGGCCAGAGGCCCTCCCATCTGAGCCTCACTTCCTAAAGGTTCSCCCACCTCCCAGTAGTGCTAAACCCAGGACCAAGCCTTTAACACATGGGCCTTTGGAGGACACTTCATGTTCACACCATAGTGATACCTTCATATTTTTTACTATTCAGTGATGTAGAAGGTACAGAAAGGTCATGGATGGACTAATTCTCGCAAGCTTTATGTATTTAGTTAAAGAAAGCTCAAATTGAGTTTTGAATGTTTCGTAAAAGGACACTACTAATGTAAAAGAAAGTTGGAGTCCTGTGGGCGGGATGTTCTTTGGGCCGCCGAACAGGCATTCTCAGCACCTGGTTCCGACCAGCTGGTCCTGTCTCCCCTGGCAGCAGGGTGGACATGTGAGGAGGCGTGTGTCTGCAAGGGTCCACACTGTGTCCACCTGCTGTGTGAATTTGCCCCCAGATAACGCAGTTAACCGCATCTTTAAAATCAAACCAGATGACTGTCTGCAGGTACTTGATGGTGGGTGGGCGGGTGCCTRTTGTACTGTTTCTGACCCACGCACTCTCAGGGCACAGACCACAAAACCTTTGGGAAAAGGTGAGGTAGTGGAGTGAGTCCTCCTGGGCCTCTTCCTTGTTCTCTGAGTCATGTGGGCCTGAGTACAGTCTTTGGCGTGGGCTGACTGTGCGCACTTGAAATAATAGTTGTCTGAGGGAATCACCCTCCAGGAGGCTGATGCCTGCTTAGTAGATGGCCAGGAGGGACCTTCTGCTACATCAGTTCTTTGAAATGGATGAAATATAGTGCCAGAGTGGGTCAGAGAATTTGCTCTGTGCTTTAAGGTCCTTCTGCCTGGTACTCTGTATTTAATGCCAATAGTTGAGCCACATTTACCATGCACAACAACATTTCAGTAGGTGTGAGTAAATTTGATTCAAAAATCCACAGACGTAGGATTTGCCTATATCGTTGTGGGTAGTAAACCTGCCCAGAATCCTTCCTGTGTGGATTACTAGTATGTTTATAATGTTTGAAATGAAAAATTTCTCCCACTTCAAGAATCTTTTAATCTGTTTTTTGGTTCAATCCGCAGCATRTTGAGTGGTATCATGATGATGGTAGATCAGACCATGTAAGTGTTGATGATGAATTTTTTGGCTTTCCGCTGTGTTCAGACCACCAAATTCAGAGGTGCTAGTTCATGGGCTGGGGTCATAGTGCAGTGGCAGAGTGCTTGCCTAGCATGTGTGAGACACTGGGTTYGATTCTCAGCACCACATATAAAGTAAAAAAAWAATAATAAATAAATAAAGATCCGAAGGTGCTAATTCACAGGCCTGTATTTTTCTATAGAATTAATGGGTCAGCAGGAGAATCCTCATAGGGAAATTTTATTCATGGACATGGACAGTGAAGTCTGCCTTCTGCATCTGTGGGTTCTACATTAAAGGATTTAACCACATGCACAGTCAACCTGCCAGGGACTGAAAATACTCAAAAGTCAAAAATATTGCATCTGTACTGAATTCATACACTTTTTTTTCTTGTCATTGTTCCCTAAACAATGCATATAACATCTATGTAGCATTTACATTGTATGATGTTATTGTAGATAATCCAAAGGTGATTTAAGTTATGTGGGAGGATACGCATAAATTATGTGGTATTTTATATGAAGGACTTGAGATCCTTGGAGTTTGTTACCTGAGAGGGTTCTGGAACCAATCCCTCATGGATACTTCAGAACAACTATATTTTGTTGTTTTATGTTTGCAACACTATTTTAGGAAAATATCAAAATGCTAAAAAAAATGTACAGATAGCCTGCCATCAATTTATAGTGTAAAAACTGTGACGAGTTAAAAATGAATATGGACTGAGAAATCTAGGTGAAGATAATTAGCAGTTGGAAGGTAGAATTTGTAGTTTCTTAGTAATATTAAGGGCTTGTGGTTCCTTTGTCAAAATTGGAAGGAGAGCAGTGTAACTCAGCAGATGGTAAAGGGTCATCTAGTGGCTGTGGAAACCATAGTGTGTGCAGGTTGCTCAGGAATGAGAGAACTGTATATACGAGAACCTTCCGCGTTTCAATTCCAGCCTTGGGCGTTAGTTCTTTTTTTTACTTTGGGAAGTATTTTACTTTGTGGAAAGCCTGTCATTTCCAACTSGAGATCCTTTCTAGAATCTGAGGAAAAGAGTTTTGGTTTTTGGAACTTACCTGACCTAATGATTGAGGATCCTAAGTTCCGATTTCTATCTGTTTTACTGTGTTGTTCAACAGAATTGTAAACTTCCACTCACTCTGTTGAAACTGGTTGATGTGCCTCCTACATTTTTATCCACTTCTTCCAGGTTGTAAGGCTGTTCTGCAGAAGAAATTTTAGTGGTTAAGATTGCTTTTGGGAAAGAGGTGGAGCAAATCCTTTGTCTTAAGAGTGTCTTCAGTGATTTTCTTAACCCATCAGAACTCCTGGGGGCCCTGGGAGAATTGTACCACCCATTTTGTGGCTCCCTCCCCCCTCAAAGAAGAAAATGTTCCAGCTTCTATATTAATGGTTCTGACTTTATTTTTCTTTTTTGAGAAACAATGTTTTCTGGATAGCAGAAGACCTGTCTCGTGGGGTGCCTATGCCTTCCCCCTGCCTTCCCCTGAGGAGCCTGTAGTACATGRTAAATATAAATGCCTCATAGAAGTGAAGGCTGTGGACAGATTCTCCTGGGCTCTGTTTTCCCATACTTTTTTTTTYCTTTTTCTTTTTGGCATCAACCTGTCAAGCATGATAAACAGCTAAAATCTTCAAAGGTTTGTTACATGTTCCAGAATCTCTTGATCATCTCACAGGGTGAGGCTCTATATGTAATGTAAATGATCTTTTGAAATAATATATCTTTTCAAATATTTATAGCTATGATTTTTAATTATATGATTCAAATACTATAGATTTAGAATTATGGCTAAAGTTAGGCTACTTCTTGGTCTCAGCATTACCAAAGAGAAATAGTTAGCAGATTACCACATTGCTTTTTTTCTTATAATTCTGTAAAGGACAGTAGACTTTTCTAGTTACTAATGCCTTGGAATTAACAGTATCTGAAAGTTCTTACTGAAATGGACACCCCCAAAATTTCTGAAAWAACTGTATTTGCAGAAATCACAAAAGATGTTCTTTCTTATTTACAGATACTAATAACTTGAAGATCTATTCAAGTTATTGGAGATCCATTATTGGAGAATATATGATTAGATTAGAATCATTCTGAATCATTGGAATCATCTAATCATTCTGAATGATTAGATCCATTATTCAGAATATATAAGATGATTAGATTTTAGATAGCAAAACTTGAAGCAAGGTGCTGGCTAATTCACATTTCTTGTTTTTCCATTTGCTTTTGTTTCAATCACTTTTTTAAAAAATGATTGACGTATAAAAAGTTCTGCATATTTAATGTATATATCGTCGGCGGGGGGGCTGTACCACTTAGCTGCTTTCCCAGCCCTTATGTGTACATTTTGATGGGCTTGGAAATAAACATTCGTCCTTGAAATCGCCACCACCATGAAGTCCATAAATATCTGTCACCTTCCAAAGTTTGTTCCTGCTCCCTTTATTATTGTTGTTTCTCTCATTTAATGTCTTTGATTTTTAACTGTAGCAAAAATACTTGCTGTGAGGTAATGGGAATATTGCAAGCTTAATAGGAAGACTTGGATTGGCTCCTTTTTAAAAGTATATACTCAGTAGTTTCATATTCTTGAATATTATTTTGGTAGACTTTTTCAATCGCCAAAGAATTTGCGATTAGCATTCATCTTACTGTTCATCCTGATTCTTAGCCCCACAGAAAGCATTGTTAATTTTCTAAAAATCTCGGCTTTACCACTTTCTTTGGGGGTGGTTTAGTTTTGGCTGTTAAATTTGGGTCCTTCTTAAGAAACTTTGGTGATTAATACTTAAGGTGCTATATTCTTGACATGAAGAAAACTTAAGGAAAACTATTTACTCATGAAATCAGAGGCTAGGAAAGCAGTGGTTCATTCTTCAGAGGAGAATATCTGTGTTCTGTCTCAGACTCTTGGCTCCCAGGATCCAGAGTTCCCTGGCTTTTGGCTGTCCCTGTGACTGGTTCACAGCGGTGGATATTTTCCTTTGTGGAGGTCTAACAGCCAGTTTATGTTGTAGAAGGAATTACATTTTAGACAACATTTGGCACAAGAATGACTTTTACTTTTGCCACCTGTGAGACGGGGGAGTGGTAATGTTTCTGCAGGGCTGCAGTCGCATGCTTACTTCAAAATGTACAGCTTACAAGGGGACCCAAAAGCTGTGTCCCCTGTGTCCTGTAAAGAAGATAGATCTCAACCCCTTGGCATATGGTTGACTGTCCATCCTGTAGGGACAGAAATTCCTTATAGAGTTCCTTAATTGCCTTTGATTCAGAATCTTTTTGAATCCTGCTGTTAAAATTTACTGCCAGCTATTGACAGTGAYCAGATTTGCCTTTGGACTCTGTCAGGGTCTCTTCATAGCCAAAGGCGTGAACATTCTGTTATATTTTATGTAAGGAGTTTAGCCACAAGACTCRTTTTGTATACGCATGTATTCCTTGCAACATTTAAAGACTGTAACGCCAAATTAACTTTTTGTGCTTAAATTATAAAAACCTGTGTCCCTTTTCACAGTATGTGCCATTTGCTTGGCCATTGTTTTTATAGTTACTTGATATTTATATCACTTGGAGTTAACAGAAAAAGTATGCTTACTTTGTGTTATTTTTTTAAAAAAATCTGTGTATCTTTGAGTTTCATTTGTAGTGTCAGAATCTGAGGGGACTCAACTGCTCCTTTCATCTTGTGAGTTGAGAGATTTGCCCCCCGCCCCCACCCCTCAGGTTCCACTGTCTGGTCAGGCATCCATTCTGCCAGGGCCTGCTGTGGCCATCTGAACTTTCTCAGATTTTTGAGATATCATTAAGGGCGGGGTGGGGGAGGATAGAGGCAATGAAATACTTTGTTTTAAATTATAAAACTGAAGCCAGTTGCTGTGGAGTTGTGCCTTCATTGTGAATTGAGGGATAAAAGGAGTTTACCTATTAAGTCACCTAAAAGAAACATGGCTGGAGGTGTAGCTCAGTGACATACTAGCATGTATGAGGCTTTGGGTTCCATCCCCAGCACACCCGCTGCAAATGGAAAAGGCATGCTTTCAGGTAAGATTCTCACCAGCACATCCCACTTCTGGATCATTCACCTACTGTTGGTTCCTTGCTTGGCCTGTGGGTGCTATTCACTTGCCCAGGGAGAGGGCCTTCCGTGAAATGACATGTGTCCTTTGKTGGTGATGCTTTATGCTTCTATCTGTACACATGTACACAGACAGGAAAGGGGATGCTGTGTTCCTGTTACAAACAAAGAAACTGCAACTCCTGACTACTCACATGACATTTAGTCTCATTATATTCTAATTAGTGGTGGAGAACCCAGGTCTTTTCTTGTGTCACCCCAAAAATGTGATTGAGATATATGTATAGATCATAAAATTTCCCACTTTAACTATTTTTTTTGGGGGGGGGAGGGTGCTAGGGATTGAACTCAAGGGCACATGGCCACTAAGCCAYATCGACAGCCCTATTTTATGTTTTATTTAGAGACAAGGTCTTATTGAGTGGCTTAGTGCCCCACWTTTTCTGAGGCTGGCTTTGAAGTCGTGATTTCCCTGCCTCAGCCTCCTGAGCCGCTGGGATTATAGGCGTGCACCACCACGCCCAGCACTTTAACTGTTTTTAATTATAAAATTCGGTGACATTAAGTATACTCACGTTGCTGTGCATGTGAACTGTCCATTTTCAGTACTTTTTCATCATCCCAAACAGTACTTGCTAAGTAACACCCATTACTGTGCTTGCTAAGTAACACCCATTACTCCCTTCCCAATGCTGGGAACCAGCATTCTACTTTCTATCGCTTTATGGTGGATGGATGATGCTGGACCCTTTTACAAGTGGAATCAGGAAGCATTAGTCCTTTTGTGACTGGCATATTTCACTTAGCATAATGTCTTCAAGGTTCCTCCATGTTGTAGTATTATATTAGAATTTTGATCTTTTTTTTTTTTTTTAAATCATCCTAACACTTCCAGCTGTTCAGTTCAGTATGCTAAGTGTACTCACTGTAGGTGATGAATCAGGCTGAATAGTATTTCCTTATGTGTATGCGGCACCCCCCCACCACCCCACTCATCCATCAGTGAATATTTTGGGTTGTTTCTATCTTTTGTCTATTATATAATGATGCTTCTGTGAATATTGATTTCCCCCCCTCCATATGCCTTTTTCCTAGACTTCTTTTAATGATTGTAGAACTCTTAATTTAAATGCATTTTTACTTATAAACAAAATTAGTTTCTGGAGCATCATGGATGTCAAAAATAATCTTTAAGCCTAAAAGTCATTAAACCAAATGAGATGGCTTGATATAGGAAAAAGGAATATGAATGGAAAAATTTAGCAAGAAATTGAATTGTTTTTATTTATTCAAGGGAATGACCAGCAAGTGCCTGTCAAGAATGAAGTAGACAGTTGTGAAACTTTGAAAAAGGTCGACACAAAGTCACCTTCAGAAAAGAAGATTCACAAAGCTTCTAAAGAAGACGTATGTTCTGAGAAACAGGACATGCCTTCAGTGGAGGTCTGTATTCCTTTTTAAAATTTTTTTTCTTACTAAAAGAAATATAATATGTTTAGGGTATAGGATGCAAATATTTGTATAAGAAATGTATTTCTTTTCAGTATATTGGAATCAATATTGGGAATTTGGTGTGGGTTTTCGGAAACTTTTATCTTCTAAACAATATGTAGGGATTACTAAAATAATTTTTAGTGAAGCCATATAGCTTTGTCTCCCTGTGGTACCTATTCCTAAGAAAATGGATTAACTCCTTGGTAGCAGCAGTAGAGTAGAACCAGATCAGGATCTCTTCTGTCCATTTGGTACCAATATCCATTATTTTAGGGCATGCTCTTGTTGAGTCACCTTCTTTCTTTGTCCCTATGACTATCATCATATTCTCTCCAAAAGGTTAGAAAAGTATTTGTGATATAATAGAAGAAAATTCTCCTGCAGTGAGGCAGAAGCTAAGTTTGTAGATCAAAAGAGCCTACTGTGTACACAAGGAAAGGTTGACATATAAAAATGGATATGCATACATTCTACTTAAATTAACTGAATTTGAAGCGTAAAGAGATGTGAAGACAGGAAAATCAGGAAACACAAACTTAAGCTTGCTTGGCTGCCTCAAACTTCTCCATAGGAACATCTCATGCTAAAAAACAACAGTGAAAATTGGAACAAAGAATATTGTGTCTAGCCAAGTTGACACTCTGACTCCGAGGTGATAGGTAGACATCCTTAAACACAAATGAATTTAAGAATTTTTATGTGTGTGTGTGTGKAGTACTGGGGACTGAACCCAGGGCCTTGTGCTTGCAAGGCAAGCACTCTACCAGCTGAGCTATATCCCCAGCCCTAAAGAGTCTTACTTAAAAAGGCAAGTTAATAAAATTTAGCCAATTGAGATAGAAGTAAAAGTATAGACCCAAAATAAAAGTCTTTTGTGAGGTTTCTAGTCCATTTTATTTCCAGAACTAAGACTACACAATGGTCGTTACAACTGCAGAGCAGATTGCATATTATTAAAACTTCAGCAAAAAAAAAAAAAAAGAAAAAAAGAAAAGAAAAGAAAAAAGAAAAATAGTAATTTCTCCAAAATTCAGGAGGTGGGATTGAGAGGTAGATGAAAAAAAGTTTTAATTTTAATCTTTTTTGGTAGAGAGCTATTACTATGTAAAATGAAACTTAAAGTTTAAAAGCTTAAAAGAATAACTTAAAGTGTTTTTATAGTCTTGGTAATCTTAGATCCTTAAGGAATTACTATATCACATGGAGAAGGGACAATTATTTGAAAGTTGTCAGTTCCTGTTGACAATTTAAGTTTCTTTCTCTTACTTTAAATTAATATAAAACTGAGCCTTAAGTTTTTATTTAAAAAGTAACACAGGTCCCATGTTATAAATTATTCCCATAATTTCTCCACCATTTGTACATATGTTTCTAGAAAAATACTCAAGGTTAACGTAATGTCAGTGGGTAACCTTAGTTATTTCTGAGTGGTGGGAGTTCGGGTGACTTCTTTACCCCTTCTTCATCATCCTCTGTTCCACTTAAACTTATAAGCATGAATCTTTCATTTAAATAAAAATATAAGTGCTGTAAAATAAGTTGCAGACATTCTGCAGTAGGAGTTTGCAGCATGTTGAGAAAGGTGAGAGTTTTCTCTGTAATCAGGCACCAAGATGAGCATATAATAGAAGGCGTGTCAGAGATTCAAAAGCCAGGTCAGGCTGCAGTGGCCCTGGGAAGCCCCTGGAGGAGAAGGAAACTTGTATGGAAAGGAGGAGGAGGAAAGGTGGGCAGGGAAACCACTGAGTCCCAAAGGGGAGGAACAGCTGGACATTGGGGAACAGGTAGCTAGTGAGTCATCTGCCTGTGCAGCCACCCCTACTCAGAGTAATAGCCTGGAAGGTCAGAGTCCTCCAGATTGTGAAGGCCTTTGAATGCTAATTGAGAGTTGAGATTTTATTCCTTCAGTCTCCACGGGAAACATAAGGAGGTGGGTGGTGTCTATCGAGAACTAGAGAATGGTTGCATGCTACAGAATTTTACAATCAGAATTTAAATTTTTTTTTAAGTTTTAGATGGACACAATACCTTTATTTTATTTATATATTTATTATTTAATGTGGTGCTGAGAATCTAACCCAGTGCCTCACATACGCAAATGCTTTACCACTGAGCCACAACCCAGCCCTCAGTCATAATTTTTAAAAGCACATTTGTGCAAACCAAAAGTGTTTTAGAGGATTTKGCCTAAGAGTTGCCAGTTTTGGACCTTCGATGCAAATCATGGAGAGCTGAATTGTGGGGTAGAGGGACAGTGGCTGACCAGTGGCAAATAGCCTGTAGGCTCTGATCTTCCTGACAGGTATCAGTTGGATATCTTTTTAATCAGTTTCACAAAGACTTGACAGATTGCTTCTTACATAGAACTGATGTAGTAGTTAAGTAAGTGCTTGACTGAATGTGCGAATAATGCATTTTTGAAAGATCAGTCTGGGTGTTTGGGAATCTGGGGTGGAGAGGGAAGAAATGGATATCAGGTTTCTTCTAGCATGGATGCTGTCACTCTGCTAGGAGACATGCTGTCACCAAGACCTATATTTAGATAGGGACCAGGGTAAAGGATAGGAAGAGTAGAAGAGAGACTTTTAGAGAAGAAACCATCAGGAGTTCTTAGCACTTGGTAGCATAAAGGAGAGGAATCACTTTTTTTTACACAGCCATCTGCCATGGCAACGCAAGGTTTAACACCTCGGTGGCTAGAAGATGAGAAATTGGGATTTATGTAATAAGCTTCTTTTCACATCTTTCAGAGCAGTGTTGCATCGTAGGAGCATGGACTTCGCAGCCAGGATTCCTGGGTTTGAATCTAGCTCATGCACACTCACTCTATGAAATGACATTGGGCTAATGTCACAGTGCCCTCCTTTTGTAAAACAAGGATAATATTTTTCCTATGTCATGGGGTTGTGAGGAGGAAATGAGTTATTATGAGAAGTRCTTAGAATGGCAGGCTGCCAAGTAGTAAGTACCAAAGCAGTGACAGTTATGATGACAGTCGTTACATCAGGGTGGGTTACGGGCTTTGGGGCCAGTCATGTAATAGATGCTGGGGGGCTGGAGCTTCCATGACAAGGGAGACTGGAAACTTGAGCAGGGGGAGTTATCCCTGTGGAGGTGAGACCCAAATGTTGCTTGGAGTTCTCTGTTGCATGTGTGGCAAGAAGATGGTGGCCTGACTGACCTTTGGGCAGCCTCAGATTTGCAGGTGGGTTGCTGGCACAGGTACAGCAGTGGAACAAAGAGCTCAGCCGAAAGACAAGTAGGGCTTGCTTTCCAGAGCAGAAGTAAAGTCATCAGATTCAGGACAGAGGGAATCAGTGAAGTGAAGATCTGCATCTCTACTYTGATGAGTAGAGATGATTTGCATCAGGCTTGCCCATTGGCCTGCAGGGAAATAGAAATTGGTTCTGAGATTGTATRCCTGGAGGAAAGGTGGTGACCGATTACTCCAAGGTCCCCTTRGTCTGAGATGGTCCTGAGGAATGGCAGTACTGCCCCTGGTGCCCATCTGCCACATGTGTGGGCATTATTCCTTCCCTTAAGCCCTTGCCTCASTCCTGAGTCTTTCCTGGATCCCAGAGTCAGACTTAGCCCTCCAACTTCTGTCCTTTGTGATGCAGTTTTCTTAATTTGTTGAGTTACTTTCTTCCCTGAGTGTCTTTGGCTTTAGCTGCTKGAGGCTGTGGGGCCTTAACCGGCTTTAACCATTTCTCTTAGCCCTTGCACTCGGTCCCTAAGGCTATGTGACCCCTCCYGCTGCTGGTCTGTGGGCCTGTTATTACAGACGTGGGTGCCTAACAGTGGCTGCTGGCTCAGCAGGAAGGATGCCAGCTTGAGGGACGTAGGGGACTCAGATGGACCCTGTGGCCATCCCCAGCCAAGTTTAACCAAGGTGGGTTTTCTGGTTCCGAGTTGGGGGCTGTCCTTTTCTGTGTGTGTCTGACTCACTCCCTGTTCCTTAGAATTGTACTTTGAGGTCCCCTGAGTGTACTTTCCATTTCATTGTTCGTTTAAAGAAAATCATTCTCAATAAACACATTCCCAAGTGCAGTGCTCAGTGATTGTTTTTCTTGCACATTCTTAGGGCCTAACTTTGCAGCTTAGAAAATTGTACAAATCTGTCTATAGTATGTGGAGAACATTCTTCCAGATTTATTGGTTGAAGCCCAAGTTTGAGAGCCATAAACTAAATTTTAACCCTAGCTCTGGCTTTTTATTTTCTTYTAAGCAGATTTTCCCCCCTTTAGGAAGGAATCCATGATTCTTATAGAAGCCTAAAAATGTAAGGGGGAAAAAATCTATACAAAATGAACCACTTTTAGAAGTTTATTTGTTTTCTATGCAAATTTCAAAAAAGTTTCTTACTTCACCATCATAAAATAGTGAGGAAAACAGCTATTATTATGGGTAGGTTTAATGTCATGATTCTTATTTTCTCAAGTGGTTGAATATTAGACAGTTTTATTTTTATTGGGTATATTAACAATCTATCATTTGTGCCAAAATTTAAACCATCCATTATTTAAACCATTCTCCTGCAGGTGGATGTTAAGGTTGTGTCAAGCTTTTGACTTTCATAAGTAACTCTGATGAACAATTTTGTTCATAATTCTTGCCTTCATTCCTGATAGATCCTTGTTTATGGATGTCAAGAAATAGTTAAAGGATATCAGCTCTTTCCCTGGAGCGCTGTTGCATTGCCTTGCGCAAAGTTGGTAGCAATTTATGTTCACGTGTGGTGTATGAGAGCGCTGGCTTCATTTTCCTCTCAGCAGCACCAGTTTGCCCAAAAAATATAGAATAAATAAATAAATAAATAAATAGATAGATTGTTTTTGATGCCAGGGATTGAACATGGGCCTCATGCACACTAAGTGTGAGCTTTACCACTGACTTGCACCTACAGCCCCTCTTAGCAAAATTATGGTCATATGATAAGTGAGCCAGGTTTGGGCTTTCTCTGGATCTTGTTTGTTTGCTTTTTGGTGCTGGGCCTTGAGCCCAGGGCCTTATGTGCTAATACATATGCGCCTACCACTGAGCTACACCTCYGTCTCTGAACAGCTAGGTTTGTTTGTCATTTCAGTTTGCATCTCACCAGGGAAAGGTGTAGATGGAAACAGTACCTTTATTTTGTTTATTTTTATGTGGTGCCAGGATCAAACCCAGTGCATTTGTTTTATTTCATGTTTTGTAAAATTCTAATAAAAAATTAAAGCATCCAAAATCCTACCACTTCAAATAAATCCTACAAATTAAGATGTTAATGTTTAATCAGAGGCTGACACTCTTACAATATCCTGCTTCCTGTCRTTGCCTAGTATTTGCAAATGTAAACATGCATTATAAATGCATTCATGTTTTCTAAAACCAAAATGGAAAGATGAGACACAAGCTAGTCTATAATTTGCCTTTTCTAAGCATATTGTTTTATTGTGAAATATTCTGGATGAACTCATTTTTTTTCCTTTTCTATTTCTTTTTTGAATTGATGTTCTGTGTTTTCCACTTTTCTATTGAATGTTAGTGGTTTCCTTTATTTTCTCTAAGAACACTCTGTATGTCAAGGTATTAAATTAATGTTGTTCATCAAACATTGTGTATCAGAATATTTTATTAGTTTTCCCTTCTGATTTTTATTCACTTCTACTTATATACGGTGGTTTCAAAAATGCCTTTGTGCAGTCAGTCTGTGGTTTCTCCTCTTCTTCTTCTTCTTCTTYTTTTTKTTTTTTACRTATCTGTTTTTTAGGTGTAGATGGACACAGTACCTTTATTTTGTTTATTTTTATGTGGTGCCRGGATCAAGCCCAGTGCGTTCTCAGTAAGCACTCTACCACTGAGCCACAACCCTGGCCCCACGGTTTCTCTTCTTTGATTTCTTCTTGTGCTTTTAGAAAAATTTAGAGGCTCTTTCTCCACCTTGACATCTTTTAAATCGTCACCTCTGTTAGGTAGTTTATGGCTCAGCAACGATGATGATAGCAAAGACAGCCCGCTTGCTTACTGTGACAGGTCATTTAATCCTTACCACCTTTGGGGAACTCAGGAGACTGAGCAGAGAGGCCAAGTGACTTGCCCAAGCAACACAGCAAGGAGGCAGGGAGCAGGGTGCCAGCGGGCCGTGCGGCCCTCCAGGAGTGCTCTGAATTGGGTCTCTGTGTGGCTGGTCCCTCTGGTGGTCAGCCCCACCCCCCTCCCCGTGGGAACCTTGCTGAAGAGTCCGACCACCCTTCCTCTGCCTCATCTTCTGGGCAAGCCTGCAGCTTGCTTTCCCCTGCTTTGCTTTCCTGTCCCTGTCCGCGACGCAGGCCTGTCGCCCTCAGCCTGATTCACACTGGGTCCCTCCTCGGTGCCCAGTGCTTTGGGTGCGCGCACGTCTCAGAGAAAAAGGTCGTTGTCAGCTGTCGTCGCTCGCAGCCTCTTTCTGCTTTCTTCTCCTCACCCACGATTTCTTTCCCCTGGTAGGTGACTCGTGGGCTTGGCTTCTTGGTCCTTCCACTCGTTGCCTCTGAGCCCAGCTTGTCCCTCACTCTTCTCCTCTCCTTGCTGTGAACTCGGTGGCGCTTCTGTCCTACCTCTCAGCCATCCAGAATAGACTTACCCTCCTGTTTGCACAGGGTGACAGTTCCAACCAGATTGAGGTGAGAAAGGCAGCCCTTTTGTCAGCGTGAGTGACCATAGACCCACTCACACTTAAAAGACTGACCCTTTATTTGTGCCTGACCCTGGAGAAACAGAAAGGCTCAAGAACGTGTGTTTTGACAAGGCTTAGTCGGCCTTGGAGTGAACAGTGTGGGTAGGAGAGGGGTGACCCTCCCCCCAGTCCATGAAGGAACGGCACGTGAACAAATGGCGCGTGTCTGAGTTGCACGCGGGTCACGTGTCTGTCTGTCCTATGTCTGTTGGACATCAAACTTCAGCCATTAGCTTTAGATCCTGTGGGACAGGGTTCTGTGTTTTGGGCTTGTTAGGATTTTAAAACACTTTCAGTGTGTACCTACCAGAAAGAATATGAAAAGAATATAAAGAAGGAAGCAAAAATTCCATCTAGGTGGTGTTAGAACTTCGTGTGATTTCTGACACTTGTTTATCAGAGTGTCCACGTTGCTTGAACGGATGGAGGATTCTGCTATCCCAGACACGGGCCACGCAGAGAACATAGGTCGTGAAACCTTTGCCTTCTCTTCTTCCTGTGTGTGGTCATGTGTATGCTAGCACTCTGTGGAGTCCTTCTCTGGACCAACCTTCTGGAAAAGAGGGTAAAATGGACCAGTCTTGGCTTTTCTTGGAATGTGAGTCCCAGGGGTCAGTAGGAAGAGGACTTGTGCATCTGGGGGGTCTTCCTCTGCCCTGTGAAGACCTTGGAGGAGGCAGTTTCCTCCTGGAAGGACCAGATACGCTGGAGCCGTGTTTTTAAGCCCTGGGTCCCGCTGCACAGGTTCACCACCTCTCACCTGCGGTCAGGGCCTGTGCTTTAAGGGGCAGCATGTGGAAGAGAAGAAGTCTGTGTTAGAGGATGGAGAAGACTCGGGAATTCCCTTCCCTATGGGCCTGGCAGTTAAAAAAAAGAAAAGCACAAATTTTAAAAGTATACACATATATCTGTAACTTCTCCTATCTACTGTATACGCATCACAGGCTGGATTAGGTTTTTTTTTTTTTAATTTTTTAGAACCACATTTCAAAAATATAAGCATACTTTTTATTTACCCAAGAAACTTAAAACAAGTTTGGGGCCTTCTATTGGGATCTGGCTGTTCTCCTAACATTCATCTATACACAACAACAGAAGTGCACAACTTACTCCTCAGCTGAGTTTTAATCCGATGTTTCTTAGTAGTCATTCGTGGGAGTTGCACACACCAGATTAACGGGTGGGGGGGGGCTGGAGGATTTACTGCTGCTGAAGCCAACAGCAAGCCACCCGTAAATTGCTAGCAGATGTTTTTCCTTTTTAGCCCCTCAGGAATTTTATAGGCAACAGTTCGTTTTTTTCTTCTCTTTCTTTGGAGCTAGAGGGAGATGGAGAAAGGAGAGAAATGAAAACAAACTAGAGGCCGAGGAACATATGTCTCAGTTGTCACCAGAGCAGGGTCATTTTAAATGCAGATGGAGTTGGTCTTCAAAAATGAAAACAAACACAAGAGGGTTTCTCTTCATGTCGAGGCACTTGAAGCCGCTCAACRCTTTCTTTTTCCTGTTTAGCAAGAGGATCCTTTCAGGAAGAAGAAGCTTCAGGAGAAAAGAGACGGAAATGTGCAAAATCTGAATTGGAATAAAAATCGAACRTGTAGAAAGAACAAGAAGAGGGGTGTCACCCAGGCCTCGAGGTGTGTGGTTTTTACCATTTCTTTATGATTTTGGTCTGATTTCTTACTTTATGATTGTGCATTGTGCTGTTATCTTTTATTTAAGGTTGGATAGGTGACCAAATATAGTACTTCAAGATTGAAATAAACTTATAAAATTAACATATTTTCTGATTGTATTTTTATTAAAAGTACCTTACAGGGGCCTTCTTGTTTTATTTATTTATTTATTTTAGTTTGTTCTARTTAGTTGTAGATGACGGTAGAATGCATTTTGACACATTGTACACAAATGGAGCACAGCTTCCCCTTCCTCTGGCTGTACATGGTGCAGGGTAATAATATCCACTTCATTCCACCATCCTTTTCATTTTTCTTTGTTTTTTTAAAATTTTTTTATTTTATTTTATTTTTGTACTGGGGATTGAGCCCAGGTATGTTTTACCACTGAGCTATTTTCCCGGCCTTGGGACAGGATCTCACTAAGTTGCCCAGGCTGGCCTTGAACATGTGATCTTTCTGCCTCAGCCCCCTGAGGAGCTGGAATTAACAGATGTACCTCCACCACACCCGGCTTCAAAAATTTATTTTAAATCTTTCCTTTACAAAATGCTAAAAGCCAAGAGGTTTTAGGAAAAGGATTAAGCATTCTTCTGTGCCAAAGCCTCGTTCTGTCTGTGAAGTGCAGGAGCATTTGTGAGACAGGTRCAGGAGAAAGCCCTGGACACAGGCAGGGCCACCTGTTCCCAGCCTGGCCACTGGCATAGTAAGATGGAATAGTCACTCCCCCCTACCTCCCACCCCCCCGCCATAACCCCCGCTTCAGTCCTGCATGAGGTGGGTTCTTGCAGCTGTGGGAAGCGAGGTGCCCAGGTAGTCAGTCGCTCCTTGATGGCTCCCCAGTTGGCAAGGGCACAGCCAGGATTGAACCCGGCAGTTTGGCACTGGGTTTTGGAAACCTTGCTTCCTTAAGATGCTTAAGTGCCCTGGACTTTCATTTTCTTATCTGTAATATAAGGAGCTGCATGATGTTTTGTGAGAATCCTGTATTGCTGAGGTTCCAGGAATAGCCTCCTTAAATCTAACATATAAATTTCCCATTTAAGGATTTGTTTTAACCAGGTCAGTTGTGTTTGTACACAGTCTAACTCCAAATCTACCCAGTTGAATTCTGATTTTTTTCCCCCTATTGCTAGAGATTGAACCTAGGGCCTTGTGCATACCAGGCGGGCACTCTCAAGTTCTGATTTCTTATATCACTCTTCCAGCGCCCCACACCCACACATGGGAAAACCTGTAGCAGACACATCCTCCCTTGCCTCGTCCTCCTTGGGCCCTGGGATGGATCTTTTCAGGTTCCTCCTTGAATGGAGGCTGACCCTTCCAGGACCTCAGTTTTATGTTGGAAATGCTGTTCCAACCCCCTGAGGCCTGTCTTCAGCTGTCCATGGGTGGGCACTGAAGCCGTTGCCCCAGCTTCTTTTTCTTCTGAGTTCTGGCACCTAGAGATTTCTTTTTCTTGTGGTCTCAGATGARCACTTTGATGTTTTTGTTAAAATTTTTTTCACCAGCAGTTCCACATTTGTATAGGGAAAGGGTTCCACTTTGGGGAGCTCAGGGTCCTGGCCCAGCACTGAGAGAGCTCCCAAGCGAGGTGCAGTCCTGGATGATGGGCGGGGGGCGGGGCAGCTGTAGGGTCGCCTCCAGGCTCAGTTCCACACCCAGCTCACATGGCACCACCACAAAGTGCAGTTATGAAAGAATAAACGTAACCCATTATKACTTTGTTAATAACACTGAATTCTAATTATTCATGGGTCATTTTCCTTGTTTAGCCCGGATAATTTAAAGTGAATTATTTGAAAGCTGAAGCCTAACATTCTGTAGAAAGGAAGTGAGACGCAGATCTTGTATTCTTTTATGTATTTGTTTTTATAAACATACGATTGACCATGAAGTCACTTTAATGTAGTCTATTTTCCCAGATATGAATTTATAGAAAGATATGAAAGTAGARTGCAGTTTTACCAATGAAATGTTATGATACTTTTAAAAGCAGATTTCTGAGATGCTGAAGGAATAATTGGATTGTTAAAAAATAACTTCCAAGGCAGAGTCTGTAACTGCTCATAATGTGTTGAGAACATGATGCTTAAGAAGTAGGTGGTGGTTATTGAGTAGCCTGTTGCCTGGACTCTTGTTTCTGCCCACATCCTATTTTTACCTTGATCAGAAGAAACCAGCAGAACCGTCTGTTGCACCTCACATATTTCATCTTCTTTCCTGCCATCCTGCAGACTCAGTACTGTGTACCAAAATTGGAGCATGCGAAAAAGTCCTCTGGTTAATCCCAGAACATTCTCCACATTTCTGTATCAACRTTTATGAAATTGTATTGTAATTCTGCCCTGGAAGAGTTTGTGGTCTAGCAAGAGATTTATTCAGCTTCATAATCCATATTAGGGGTGGGGCTGTGCTTTCCTTCCTTATACACGCTCCACCTCTCTGGACAAKACACAGAACATAGTACATGCAACAGACATTTACTAAATGAATGAGTGAGGGGCTGTTTAACACTCAGTACCTTCTGTCAGACACCAGGCAGAGCAGGTTCATCTATTGAAAAGCAAAGGAAACAAACCAAGAATCCCAAGCCAGCTACTTATCAGTCAACCTTGAGTGACCTTGCAGAGTCGTATTCCTCTCATGGTAAACTTTTAAGTAAAATCAATGTCTTACAAATTAATTCTAGTCCCCAAATGGCAACCTGGTTAAGAATTTGGTGCTGGGGCTCAAACGCAGGGCCTCAAGCATGCTAAACACAAACTCTACCACGGAGCTGTGCTCCCAGCCCCCGGATCTCTTTCTTACTGATGTCCCCTTCCTTGCTCATCGTGTTCTCCAATAGACCCAAAGAGAGGAGGCCTCAACTTCTCCTAGGGTCATACTTTCCTGAGTCTCAGGTCTTAGGGAAGGACGTGTGTGTATACATGAAATGTTGTTTTGTCCCCTGCCCCCCAGGTCTTCTGAACAGAGTGAACTGAAGCTTGTGTGCAGTGATTTTGAGAGGTCTGAGCTGGGCAGTGGCACTGATGTGAGGAGCTGGTGTATACAGGAGAGCCCTGGGGAGAGTTGTAAAGCAGATGCAGAAACKGCAAGCAGTTCACCTGCTGCACAGAGAGAGGCAGGTATGTAATACATGGAGCTAAGCGGGGCTTTTGGGGACAGTTTAATTTCCTTGAGGTGTCCAGCGTGAGAAGAAGTCCTGCTTTGACTGACAACTTGACAGGCATTGTGGCTAACTAAGGTCCAAATAGGATGCTGTCAGGGTGGCACTAGAGAGCTAGGATTCTGTGGAGCCTGGGCAGGCCTCTAGTGTTGCCCCCCTCCATCAAAATAACGAAACAACAACAAAACCCGTGGCCATTCTCATCTATCCTCGTACATACTGCTGCAGGAGCAAGGAGTGCTTGCTCTAGACAGGGACACCCTTGGTGGAAGGGGGGAGTATCCATTTGAGAGAGTGCCACTGCTACTCTTGAGCCAGACAGTTTCCAAAGAGCCAAGTCACTGCCCCACCCAAAGGCTGGTAGGCAGGACCCCCAAGGGAGAGATAGAGGGGCACCCAGTGCTAGGACCAGGGTAMGATTGAGGACGGTGGGGCTGGAGCACTGAACTTGGCAGTGCCGGARGGGTGTAGGGTGGTGGGGGATTCACAGTCCTCTCAGCCCACATGAGTTCACAGTGCACGCTCCAGCCACCGCAGTTAACTGGACTGTCCCTGTCTTTTATGTTTTCATTCTTTTGACAGTTATACTGCTTTCTGTGTTTTTTGTTTTTTGTTTTTTTTTTTTTGGTACTGAGGATTGAACCCAGGGGTGCTCAACCRCTGAACCACATACATCCATAGCCCTTTTTTATATTTTATTTAGAGGCAGGGTCTTGCTAAGTGCCTCGCTAAGTTGCTGAGGCTGGCTTTGAACTTACAATCCTCCTGCCTCAGCCTCTCAAGCCGCTGGGATTACAGGAGTGCACCACCATGCCTGGCTACTTCTGGTTTTATTGGAGATTCTTCCTACACATATATCAAATACTTCTAAATTTTAGTGGACATCTTAATAAAACAGGGAGAAATTATCTACAAACCTCTCTTTCCATAGATTCTAGCCTCAGTTTTATTAATAGAAGTGGTTCATTATTTCTAGAACCATTTTTATTTTATTTTTGCAGTGCTGGGACTAGAACCCAGGGCCTTCCACACATGAGGCAAGTACTCTACCACTGAATTGAGTTCCAGCCTCTAGAACCATTATTATTATTATTATTATTATTATTGTTATTATTGGGAAGAACGACAGGCAAATGCTCCCCTTTTTTTAAGGCTTACTTTTAATTTTTATTTATTTTTGGTGCCAGGGATTAAGCCCAGGAGCACTTAACCACTGAGCCATATCACCAACCTTTTTTGTTTTTTATTTAGAGACAGGCTCTTGCTGAGTTGTTTAGGACCCTGCTAAGTTACTGGGGCTGGCTTTGAACTTTCAGTCTTCCTGCCTCAGCCTCCTGAGCCTTACTTTTAAATACACAGCTGTTTATCCTCCACATCATTGTCAACATAAACCCCAATTAATTACAGAGCACTAAAATAAAGTGTAAAGTGTATAATTAAAAAAAAAATCAAACATTTACATAAACCTTTTTTTTTTTTACATCTCTTGATTTCTAAAATATTCTTCATTCTTTCGTTGTTCAACTCTGTATTTGTATGAAGATTGAYGTGGCTGGGTGTGGTTTGCATGCTTGTAATCCCAGCACTTCACGAGGCTAAGGCAGGAGGATTGCAGGTTTGGGGCCAGCCTCAGCAATTTAGAAAGACTTGTAAGCCTCCTAGCAAGACTTTATCTCAAAACAAAAAATAAAAAAGGCTGGGAATGTCATTCAGTGGTTAAGTGCCCCTGGGTTCAATCCACAGTATCAAAAAGAGAAAAAGAAAAAGTTGGCCTGTCTGAATATTACCTGTTCTTTTACTAACACCTATGATAGTGATGTTTGTTAAATATGTTCAAATAAGTCTGTTGTATATATTTATGTACTTTTTAAGTAATTGACAAAGTTTTTATTGTGGATTGAGCAGACAAGTACAGGACCATATATATTCTTGTACGGTTTTCACCATCCTTAGATAGCAACTGAGATCAGAYGCAGAAAGAACAGGACACAACTTAGATTTTCTTATAAACGAACAAGTATTCTAGATAATAGAGAAACCAACGATTGCTTAACTGRTTTTAATAACATGGCACAAAACACCTAAACTTGATATATGCAAAATATATAGATGATGCTGTCTTTTAAAAATATAAACAAGATGTAAGAATAGGCGAGTTTCCATTAAGTAAAAGTTTAAAAAGATAAGTTTTCCTTTCCATCTCATTTGAAGAAGGAAAATCATCATTTAAAAAAATTCAAGTTTATTAAACAAATTTTTATAAGTATTATAAAATGTTTAACTTTCATCAGCTTCAGAGTTTGTTTTGCTGCCAAATTTTACACATAATTGAACTTCCAAGTCTGCCAACATCTGCTGAATTGCTTCCACTCTGGATTCTAAGGCGTCAGTTTCTTCTTGGAGATTTTCTTTGCTTCCTCTAACATTTCTTGTGTTTCTTCTTGAGAATGGCTGACGAAAACTTCGCCAGTTTGCRGAAGTACCTTTAAGTGGTCATCGTGATGTCATCACAAGCATCTTCTAAATTTTGGAGTTCTTTTTTACTTCTCTTTCTTCCTTTAGCTCTGTGATTCTACTCATGTTCTGTGACAATTTGTTTGTTGATTTTGTTGATCTTCCAAAGTAACATTGACATCTTTCACAACACATCTTTTTTATGCCATCTTGGGACTGCCCCAGAACCATTTTTAGATCGAGGTCCTACTTGCCGTTGACCCTTGGCCCCACATGAGTCCAGTCGTCCTTCCCGCAGGCAGAGTCTCAGCTCTGCGCTGCTGCTCTTACRGCCCTGTGTGAGGGTCAGTGGACATCTTGGTTCTTCTTGCTGAGCCCTGGAGCTAACTCTGGCCTCTTCCTGGTTCCACATCTCTCCATTTGTTAGAAATGGCATCAGGTTGAAATTGTGTGAGTGAACACGGTTTCTCTCTCACCTGCTGTAGACAGTTACCTCCAGAAGCCCGWGAAGAAGTGTGCAGACAAGTTCTGCTCGGATTCCAGCTCTGACTGTGGAAGCTCCTCGGGCAGCGTCCGTGCCAGCCGGGGCAGCTGGGGCAGCTGGAGCAGCAGCGGCAGCTCCGATGGTGACAGGAAGCCCGTGGTGGACCCGCAGCACTTCCTGCCAGCCGGTGAGTCCCAGGAGGAGGCTAGTGCCCCGGAGTGGCCTTCTGTTGCCCTCCGGTGGGTCCAGCACAGGGTCTGGCTCTGCGTTGCAGAARACAGAGGACAGAGGGGACTTTAGTCTTGGCTTTGTTCTGACCTTCATTCCCTTTTATTTTCTTTCCTGCCCTCTCCCTCCTCATTTCCCTCCAAACCATCATCACGACTTGTTCTCTGTCTTTGAAGCAGGTCACAGAGCTGTGCATTTGTGTGTTCTTGTTTATTGTGGCAAAACCTGTGTAATGCAGAGTTCATCACTGTGACCAGTTTGTGTTGATTTCCTGGTGCTGGGACGAACCCAGGCCTTTTACGTGCTGACAAGTGCTCTGCCCCTGAGCCACCAGGCTTTATGCCATTTTCAAGTGTAAAGTGCGGTGACATTATGTTTGTTCCCATGGTTGTGTGGCCACCCCCGTCCCCATCTGCAGGACTTCTCAGGCAGCCGCTCCTGTTCCTCCTCCTTGTAGCCCCCATTACTCTCTTCTACTGTCTGTCCCTGTGAACYTGACTCCTCTAGGTACCTCGTGTGAGTGGGGTCCTATAGCGTCACTGTCTCTTTGTGACTGGGTTACTTCAGTCAGCATGGGTTCTCAAGGCTCTTTCGTGTTGGAGCATGAGTCAGGATTTCCTTCCTTCCTAAGGCTTAATGTTCTATCCTGTGTGTGTGTACACCATGTTTTCCACCATTGGTAACTTGAATGACAACACAGTTCTAGAGAATACTTTCTTGAATCCACTTCCTGTGTTATGTATCAGTTATGTATGTAATATTTTGTTCAGTTGAACATTTAGTAGAAGTAACTTTTGCAGCAGAATTTCTGCCAATTTCCTAATGGATTTAAATGTTTTCAAATGCTCTAAACATTCACCAATCTTCTCAAGAGAACAGACCTCTGAAAACATAATGATTAATGCAGAATTACCGTAAGTGGTGTGCTTGTTGCTCAATTTAAGTTTTTGTAGGTGTTCCAAATCAGTGCAGTGGGATGAGATGGGTTAAGTTGTGCTTGAATGCTATATAATAGTTGGAAAATGTCCTCAATGTGGAAAGATTGAAAAGACAAAGCATAGTACAACCTCAAGAATGGAAAGTTATACTCCATGTATGTATAGTATGTCAAAACACTATATCTAAAAAGAACAAATTAAAAAATACATAAAAAGACAAGTATGTATAGAATGTGATCCCAATTTATATATATATATATAAATTTTATATATGTATACGCACATAAAAGAGATACCTGAATGATCATATTGATAGTGTATTTGTAGATGATTTATAACTTTTCTTTAAACTTGAATTTCTGGCTCTCTGTCCCTCTGGAGATGGCCTGCATTCTCCCTGATGTATATCTACTTTCCCAAATAAGTCTGTGTCTATGGAAAAAAAATTTCTTGTTTCTTTTTATTGATTTTTTTAAAATAATGGACATATATTACTTTTATGAACTAAGTGAGCACTATAATTATATAACTAATTTTTTAATCTAAAAAACTATTAAACATTGCATAATATTGATAGTTTCAACTTCTCTCATAATGTAACATACATTATAGCAAAAAAAAATTTTTTTTTAACCAGAGACTGAACCTAGGGGCACTTAACCATGGAGCCATATCCCATCCCGTATTTTTTGTTTTGTTTTTCTGGTGCTGGGGATTGAACCAGGCCTTGTGCATGGTAGGCATACACACTACCAACTGAGCTACATCCCCAGCCCTTGTTTTGTTTTTTTGGAGACAGAATCTTGCTAAATTGCTCAGAGCCTCACTTTTTGCTCAGGCTGGCTTTGGACTCATGATACTCCTGCCTCAGCCTCCCGCGCTGCAGGGATTACAGGTGTGCACCACACATCCAGCCTATACCAAAATTCTTAAATTTAAATGTTGAGTTTTATTTTAGCTTTTTAATGAAAAGATGGGTTATTAAAGGTCTTTTAAAAATGAATTGATTGTAAATATCAGTTTAAAGTTAAAACTGAACGTGTTGATTGGAGTTAATAATGCCTCTTGATACAGAGTATATACAGTTGAATTGTACTGTTTTAGAAGATTTGTGATACGTGTTATTTTTTGAGTGCAGGAGACAGTGTTTCCCAAAACGACTTTTCTTCTGAAACTCCTATSTCCTTGAACCTTTCTCATCACATCTGCAATCCCACGTAAGTTTTTATTTTTTCAGCCTTTATGATACTTTTTTCTGTGCTTTTTCTTTCAGTCAGTGTGTTTTCTTGGCACTCGGTTCTGCAGGTTAAAATTCAAAATAAGGATGCAGGACAGTGAAACCTGATTATATTAATAATTCAAAAAGATTGATCCTTCTAAGTAAACACAATTCACATGGCAGTCTCTGGTGTCACTGCCTTCTCAGTAATAGAGAAAATGTGTTGTTTCGGAAAGAGAAAGAGGAGGCAGGAGTTACTATAATGCTGGGAGCCATCTGCCTTTTGCTAAGACTTGAAACAAAGCCAAGCATTGATAATTCAGAGGATTTTTAAGAACCTAGTAGAACTCACACATTTACAACTCCTCTGTATGATGTGTTCTGCAGCATTGGACAAGTATAAAAGTMTAAACAACTCTAAATGTCCCTCTGTGTGCTCAGGGGATTGGTTCCAGGACTCACTCCCCTGGGACACCAAAATCTGGGTATACTCTGGACTCTTAGATAAAATGGTGTGTGTTTGCATATAACCCGTGCATATCCTCCTGTGCACTTTAAATCACCTCTAGATACTTGTAAAACTTAATGCACTGTAAACAGATGTTGRAACGTATTGTGCAGGGAATAGTGACAAAGAAAAAAAAAGTCTGCACGCATTCAGGACAGGCAAAGCCATCACAGGCCTTGTGATGCCTGAGCATCTTCCTGCATARCCCTCAACGACAACAATATATCTTCTTCCAAATATTTTCAACCCGTGGTCAGTTGAATCCATAGATGGGAACCCGTGGATTTGGAGGGCTGATGGACCTTTAATGGTCGAGAGAACAGGGTAAACCAGGAGAGAGTTTCAGAGTGGCAGGTGTAACCAGGTTCCCTGGGCACCTGCCTCCTGAGGATGGAGGGATGTAACTAGATGGGTGATGTGAAGAAGGAAACGCAGCTATCGGCCAGGCCAAGGAAGGCGCCGTGAACTTTCAGTTAGAGGTAGAAAGTCAGTTCTGGACTAAGAATTGCTGCTGTCTGGCAGGAGGCAGACGGAAGTGGCAGGTTGCCTTAGTCACTTTGGTTAAATTTTTATTGTTTCATAAAAGCAAAACTTTGCAAGATCTCGGGAATTTAGTTCTCTCAGCTCTGCTGTACTTTTTGGTCTACATGATATTTTTGAGAGAAAGAATTCATGTAAAACCTCCGTTGGACTTGGTTGTGAAATTTCAGTATGTTCTTACACAGAAAACTCAGCAGTGCCTTCTTTGCTTGCCCCACAGAGACGTGAGTAACGTCCCACAGTACCCAGAGCCCTCCCAGCCCGGCCTTCCTGCTGGATCTGCAGGTGCTGAAGAAGACAAAGGTGAGGCACAGTACCCCCCGGGGCCAGCCTTCCTGGCTGCAGAACTTGAGGAGACCAAGCAGGGGGCAGAGTGGGAGTGGGGGTGGGGTGGCATCTCCAAGGTACACTTGGAATCACGGGGGAGGCGCCAGCTTTGTAGACGGGCAACATCAGGGCCTCTGCCCTTGCCTTGTTGGTATCTTCTGACCTTCTGCACTAAACCCTCTCTGTGCAGCTGAGGCAGAGCTGTTCCAGCCCCACCGCTGGGTACAGTCGGAGCCCCTTGCCAGGGTCCACTGCTCTAGTCAGAGATGAGAGAGAACAGAAGGGCCCAAGAGAAGTGAGGCCCACTTGGAGAGCAAGCCAGGGGTGAGGCTTCCACACTCCCACCTGCTTCCCYGTTCCCTGGCCCTCTCCTTTTCCTGCCCCCCACTCACATTGTATTTAAAAAAACCCCAAAACCTGTTAATCTAGCCTCAGTGCCCAGGTGACCAGCCTTGTTCCTGCACAAGGCCTGAAGCCAAGAGCTGAGCTCCCTGAGACTTGGGGAGGACGGAGGCCTTGGAGTGTGGGAGTAGGGTGGGCAGAAGGAAACCTCTCCTCCATCAGGGGTTCATTCCCGATGCCCCTTGGTCTCCCTCTCCTTTACCCTGCTCTTCCACCTTTCTTTTTCTGTGCCTTTAGTCTCCTCTCATTCTGGGGCTTCTTCCTTGCCAAATCAGGGTCAGGGATCCTGATAGGATACTCCTGGTGTCATTTAGYTTTAATACACATACTTGCTTCTGCTCAGACAAATGAAAGCTGGATGTAAAATCTGGTCTATCCATTGGAGAATTTTTATTTGGAAATACAACGCCTCTGTGCTGTTCCTTGAATAGGTTTTCCACTTGTCACATGATCAGCAGAAACAAATTATTTGTAAATTGGATCAAATGATGAGTCCAGTAAAGTMAATGTTTTTAATAAAAGGGAAATCTAAAATTGAATGGTTTGTAATTTGCTAAGGCAAGAAGAGGGGAGGTTTAGATGGTCCTATGTTTGTTTCTATGAGGTAATTGAGGAAAGAGAGGATTTGATTAATGGCAGGGAACTAAAAATTCAAAACAGACACCTGGGGCTGGGGGTGTAGCTCAGGAAGAGCACATGCTGGCTTCACTCCTTGGCACCCAAACCMAAACCAGAAACCCTTTACTGAACTCAGTTTCTGGTTTTATTGTCAACTAGGGGGATGTGTATGTACTCTGGTGTTGTGATCCATGCGTATGTGTGTGCCCAGTGCCTTAACCTGCTTCTCCTTCATAGCCAGTACCTATTACACCTGGTCAGCTGTGTCCATCCTTAGTTAGGTCCTGAAGTCACAGAAAAACAGCTTTTGCCTACAGTCTTCTGCCTTCAGAGTCTGGGCCCGTYCCTCCCAGCTCTGCACCTCCCTTCTCCTCTGGCAGAAGTGCCTTGACCCCCAGGTGCAGTGGTTTCCCTGACTCTTCTTCCTTGCAATCAAGCTGCAGAACCCCTGTCTTGACACTCCGTTGCCTCTGTCTCATTCTCTTGGTCCATCTTGCTTTCTGTCTTACTGGAAAGAGAAAAGCAATTCGGAACCTTTCAGGAAGCTCCCACACCCCTCCACACGCCCCACCTCGATCCCTTCTCTGCTCCCCTCCTGTGGCAGCCTGTGGAGTTGTTGGTGCCGTTCTCCTGTCCAAGGCTGATGTCTCGAACTTCTCATCAGTTTTGTCTTCACAGGTCACTCCCATGCGCTCGAAAATATGCCGTAAGAATCCGGCAATAGCCCAGACCCCTTCTCCCCACTCATTTCAGTCACTGCTGCTCAGCTTCTCAGCTCCTGTTCTTAGGGCACTCCTCTAAAGAACGGCCGGTGCCTGCCAGTTCAGGTTCTTTTCCTCCCGTGCTCCGTAGAAGCCCTCAATCCAGCTCTCGCACCTCCTCTCCACTGGAGCACTGCTGCTGGCCCTGGTGTTTCCCCATGAAGTCCCTGGCCAGCCCTGACTCTGGTCTCCGTGTCACATGCTGTAGGTTCCTGAGTCAGCGCCTCCTCACCTCCTCTCATGATCACGGCCCTCCAGAGCATCATCTCTCTACCCCTTGTGGATCTCACCTTTTTCAAAGCTTTAAGTGTCGCTCTCTACCCTGAGAACTCCCACATTTGTGTCTGCCACCTGGGTCTCCCTGGAACTCTGGCATCATCAGTGACTGCCAGTTTGACATTTTTTCTGGGGGTTCCAGCAGGTACCCACGTTACTTGGTCATCTCCCTCAGAACTGCTCTCCTTACGGTTTTCCCATCTTTCTGCTTATTCAGGTCCCAAATCTGGGAGTCATCCTGGACTTTGCTTTCTTGTGTCTCAGATACGCTGCAGTCTTACTCTGTCAGCAGGCCACCTTCCAGACACCCCAGCATCTGCTCACTGCCCACCACAGTTATCCAGGCCATCCCTACTTCCCACTAGTATGATCACAGTAGCTTCCTAACAGGTCTCCCTGCTTCTACCGTGTCCCCATTGTTAAYACAGAGGCCGGAAAGATCGTGCTAAACACAAGTCAGATCACATCACTGGCAAGAGCCTCAAAGCCTCTGAGGTTCTTCTGCTACTTTCAAGTTCACAAGTTAGCTGCTGACATTTTGTATGAGCTGGCAGAAGACAAAAGCCACCTGGGTCCAAGACAGAAGGCTAGCCCAGGAGGCTGCATGAGCATCAGCATGTTCACGTCCTTGCCCCCAGTGCCATGGGGGTGACAGACAGGAAAGGAACCCACGTCTTTTACCATGGGCAGGAGGCMTTGTCTTTATTTTAGTAGACATTAAGCATACTTGCCCTTGTTCCAAAAGCAGATATTTCCTTTATCTTTGAGGCTTTGCCTAAAAGCATTCTTGGAAACATAGGTCAGAATCAAGGGGTTTCTGTTGGCACACAGTACAGAAGCATAGAGACGTGTCTTATGRTATGCTCACTTCTTGTTTCTATGTGTAGCCTTGGCTCCTGATTTTCTCCTGAGTGCGTTGTTCTATTAGCAATTCTTTTTGATTTTTATTATTATTTGTAGATGGATACAATATCTCTATTCTGTGTATTTATTTTTATGTGGTTGCTGAGTATCAAACCCAGGGCCTCACATGTGCTAGGCAAGCATTCTACCATTGGGCGACAACCCCAGCCCCAGCAATTCTTAATTAATCATAATTAAACAGAAGGTGGGATCAAGTCTGTCTGATTTGTCACATACAACATTATAGCAGCTGCTATCAACAGGATTCTAAGCAGCAGAATGAAACCACCCTGCTGTTTTGACTTCAGTGTGCCCCAGAGAATCCAGCCCCATCCAGCCGAACAACTCCCATAAACCCCGAGGTCTACTTAGGAAGCCAGGTGGCTGGCTCTGTAAGCCATTTCTGCATTGGCCTTCCCCTTGGCAGGAGGTGGTACTCTGGTATAGCAGAGCATGTTTATGATGGCACAGATTCCCTCTTGGCCTGCAGGAGGGCAACCCCATCATCCCTGACATCTCTGGGCAGAGAGATGCCTTCCAGGGTCAACATGGTATCTTTGATCGCTTTGGCCTGGCCAGTACCAAGGACAAATGTCATACCACCTTTGGTTTTTGGATTTTAAAGTTAGGGTGTCACTGTGTTGCCCAGGCTGACCTCAAGCTCCTCCTGGGTTTAAATGATTTCCCACTTCAGTCTCTCAAGCCTCTGGGATTATAGGCATGTGCCACCGCAGCCAGCTAATGCCACTTTTCTAGTTGGATGGACTTTGTCTCATAGTGATTACTACTCAGGCATGTTTAGGRGCAGGAAGTTGTCCCCAGGGCAGCCTCATTTTTGAGCAAGCATCGTCATATGTAGGCTGCATCGTCTGTTGGTGGTATTTCTTCAAATACCCAGAGGTCTCTCAGACTTACCCCCAAGGAGCAAATCTCTGTTTTGGGGAGGGAGGCCAAGTTCCTGCCTGGCTTCCACACAAGAACAATCCTGGGGCACTTGTGTAGTCCTGGAAGGAGAGTGCTGTTTACAGTTGTTGGACGGTCACAGTCCAGAAGGCCACGGTAGCCAGTGGCCACAGCGGAAGCGTGCAGTCCTCCCCTCTGTGGGGGTGGACCCAGCAGCAAGGATGGCAGTCTGGGTGGGGCAGACTCCACCAGTGGCTAGATTCCACCTGGTCTCAGCAGAGAATGGGCCCCAACAGGGGGCCTCTATTTCAGTGGCCTGGAAGTATAATGAGAAGCCAAAATTTGTTTCTGCATTTCACAGTCCAAAGAGTCCTTTTTATTTTTGTATTAAATTGGAACTATTTTTTTTATTTGAGGTTTTTTTCAGATCCTGAATTTCTAAATCTATAATGGAACAACCACAGGATTGGGAACATTGGTTCTGAGATAGAACCATTTGCTGATGAGAAAGTCCAATTCCAACCGGGGAAATTTACCCTGAGTCCAAGTCTTTTCAGTTTAGTGTTACAACTACCACCTAGAAAAATAAATCCAAGTACCCATSTGGGTTGAAGGAAAAGAGTTACTTATGACTTCAAAAAATGGGACTATGTAATCTAAAATTCCAGAAGAATCAAATGGTGCTACAGAAGACATTTTTGTTTCTTTATACTTAGGAAGAAGGAGTTATATAGAAACTTCTAATTTTTTTCTTCTACTCTCTGACCAAAGTCGAAGGCAGATCATACTCTAGGGTCCATCACACCTTCTTAACTAAAAAAAACTATTCGTGCTACTTTTCTTCCAGCTTTGGCCACATGGAAAACTAACTCTACTGTGCTATGTGACTTCACACAAAAGGGTGAATAAAACTGTAGTACAGCGGCCTCTCATCTTGGGAAGGTGGATAGGGTTCCATCATGGACTGACACTGGGCTTGCTTTGACCATTCTTTCAGTTAAATGTAAGCATGCATTTACAGGGTTAGCTGCTACTCAATCTGCTCCTTCTACATATATCTCTATATGTAGAAATAAAAATAGCAAACGTTCCAAGACTTTTGAAAAAGTCAACAACAGCTTCTTTCTCCAGGAGAAAAAAAATCCCTGTTTTCATCCAAAAATGTGGATTTACATGTGTGAAAATTTACACATGTGAAAATTTATGTCACCAAATGTATTGGACATGAAATCAATCTTGGTATCTTGTCTTTATGCTTCTTCACCACATCAAAGGGTTAACTGCAGGCCTGGGGCTGTTCAGTGGTAGAGCGCTTGCCTTGTGTATGTGAGCACTGGGTTCAATCCTCAGCACCACATAAAAAAATAAATAAAGGCATTCTGTCCATCTACAACTCCGGGGGAAAAAAAAAAAGGATAGTGGGGGTTAACTGGAAAGCTGGACCTTTGTTTCTGTCCAATAAATTTATGTCACAAAATGAACAGAATTTAGAGATATATGTAACTTTCTAACATCTCTTTCTTTTCAAATTACAACAAATATTTGGAATTTTACTGCTGCCATCTCAGATTTGCTTATCATAACAGTGGCTGAAACTGGAACACATTTTTTAAAAACCCTGAAGTCATCCACACTTGCCATTTATTCGTTGTCTTGTTTGGAGCAAAAGGCAAAGAATTCACAAATACCATGACCTAAGCACCTGTTTCAAATTAAACATCAGCCTTCTGCTTGCAAACATTTTTTTTTTTTTTTTTGATAATTAAGCAAATTGCAGAAGACCCATATCAGTTGCTTTTTACTTCCTGGAGAAGTCAGTAGGATAACTGCATCCTAAGGGCTCCTTTCTGTGTTGAATGTGAAAGGTGGAACAAAAGAAAAGCATCGTTTCCATCCCAGACCATGGAGGTAAAGTGTAGCTTTCCCTGTGGTGATGTGTATCCATCCCTGTTTCAGTTAGGGGAAGTGGCTGGATGAAAGAAGCAGGTCTGCCCGCTCTAGAAGATAACAGAGAAGTACCTGCCCTGTTCTGAGTTCAGAATTTTGTTTTGAGATGAACATAAAAGCACCTAGATGAGGATTCTCGCATGGTCCAGCAGATGCAATCGGCTTCCCAGGGCCCTGCTTGCCCCCTGCCCAGAGGCCAAATGGCCAGGTGAGTGAGGCACCCCTCACTCTGCCATCTATGGCTTTAATCTGCCAGTCTGTGGCTTCAAGTAGCAGGCTAAACTGTTAGGACCATCGCTGTGAAGTCTCTTGTGAAGACACGAGGTTTCCGCTAAATCCAAACATGAGTGAGSCAGGCCTGGGCATCTGGGGAACCTCAGGGAATGGAGGGCCCCACTGAGCCAGCAGCTTTGCCTCAGATGGCAGAGTGGGCACCAGGTTTACCCAGAGGGACGGCGGCCATGTATTCCCATAAAGCAGAGACATAGGTAAGGCCAAGCCAGAGACACAGGCATCCGCCTGTTGGCGCCAGCTGTCCTCACCAGCCCCAGAGGGATGCCTCCGTGTGGTGGGGGCGAGTTACAGGAGAGGAGCCTGAGCTTAGGGGGCAATAAGCTTGCCTGCCCTTTGCCTACATTCCCCAAGGGTTTCGCTTAGCAAAAATCCTTGAAAAGATCGTCCAGAACAGAGGCCACCAGCACTTCCACTACACAGAAATAGGAGAACCCCGTGGGGCCTTGTGTCCTGCAGCCATGCTGCCTAGGACCTCCCGTGGCTTCCCATGAGACTCCAAGGCAGTGCCCAGATCCAGGTGCTTCAAGGGGCCAAAAGCTGTGTCCTCACAGTCAGTTCTCCAGCCTCACCCCCCATCCTCACACCCTCTTTTTGGCCACTGGTCCCCTTTCTCTGGAGAATCACCGGGCACACTGCTTTAGGGCCTTTGTAGACTGTCCCCACTGCGGGGCATGTGATTCCCCTTACCTGAGTGACTCCCTCCCTGTCCTCAGGCACATCTGCAATGGGGTGTTCCCTCAGAGGGGCCTTTGACTGTCCTAATTAAAATTGCTGTTTGTCATCATAGTATGTGGACCTCTGCCATGCCGTGCTTGTTTTTTCTTTTCTGTTTATCACTGTTCACTTGAATGCACTTGTTCATGGCTGCTTCCCGGTATCTGTAATGGGGCCTTACAGAAAGTGAGCCCTCTCATACCTGCTGAGTAGTGAACGCACGGTGTCGTCCAGGTCGGGAGGAAATCCTGCACCACCTGAAGCAAAGATTAAAGTGACGTGCTATATTTCAGCATGTATCCTGAAATGACCCCAGAAGGGGTCTGGGAAGGCACAAGTCAGTATGCGTGGGTGGTATGGGGTAGTATTTTCTGGAAAGTCCACACGTTGAACTGGGTGTTAGAGGATGGATACCTAGGGCTGACTAGAAGGTGGACTGAGGACCTTGTTCTCTTCCGTAGGTCTGTACCCACCCGGAGACCTGTGGCCCCCACAGCCAGTGTGTCTGACAAACAGCCTGAGCTGCGCTTTGGAGAACAGGGCACCCGGAGTGCTGCAGGAGCCCGCCCCGGTCCACAGCAGGTGCGCTGTCCCCCGCTGCCGCCCCACGGAGCCCAGGGCTCCCAGTTGGAATCTGAGTGGTCTGCTAGGAAGTCCCTATAAATATTAGGGGGCAGCTGCTACTTCAGGGGACTTCAGCTGTGTGTCTTCTCCTGCCTTTTGGAATTGTGGTGTTAGAAAACAAGAAGCCAGGCATTGAGAGAAACCCGAGTAAGAGCTGGTGGCCCTGTCATGACTTTCCTTTTTTTAAATTGAAATGGTGACCTGTTCATACGTGAGGCAAATTTGAAAGACACATGCTCCATCCCTGCCCCCTCAGCAGGAGACTTCCGTTTTTCCAGAGCATCACTCTTGAACACATTTAAAATTTGAAAGAATCAAAGAACTTGAATGTCAAAAAGTAGTTGACACAATACTAACTTCTTAAATTCACCGTTTGGTGTGAATGTCACTCGATTTGGGAAACTTGAGACAATGTTGATATTTTTGTTTGATCACAGAACTCATGGAAGGTTTGGGGTCWGCATATTACAACAGCCTTTACTGTCTCGTTTCTGTAACGAGAGCCGCTCAGCAACTGTGATCAACATATTGTGAGCTGCAGTGTTTATAGGGGTGCCTGCCCTGAGCCGGTCCTGCTGGGAGTGGGAGGAGGACGTTTCAGTAGCTGAGTCYTCTGGGTGTGTGTAAGAGTCATTCTTTGCGGGGATAATAAAGCCTGGGCCTTGGACTCTGTGTCTGTCTAGACTTGACAAACACGGTGATAAAGAATTGCACACCTTGCCAGTGCCATCCGTCCTGCAGAAGGCAGGTCATTGGTGACGACTGTTCAGTAAATCTTAGATTCTATGACTGGAGAAAGTATCATCTTTTATTTTCCTAAATTGGGGAATTTGCAGGTATGAGGATGCTGGGAAACAAAATGATTCTCCTCTTTGACTATCTAATTTTCCACTTGACTATTCTCATCCCGATTCTGAAACCRGCCGTCTTGTGTTTTGCAGCAGTTTCATCGACTGGAGCGCGACCTGCGAGGGCCAGTTTCCCAGTGTGTACTGCCCKTTGGAACTGAACGATTACAATGCCTTTCCAGAAGGTAAAAGCTGGAACCGTCCCAGTGACATTCTCTTATGTGGCCCTCAGAAATTCTCAGTCTGGGGGCTTCTGCATGTTACCCTATTCTGCTTAGTTCTCTAAATAAGGTAGAACTGGGTCATTTGTACTTATGTGGCCTAAACAAGATGGATGGTTTGTTGGATGGCTGGGGCCCTGGTTGTTTGCTGGTTGGTTTGTTTTTAGGGAGGCAGGTCCCATATGAAATAGAACATATTTATTTGTTCTTCCATGTCCTGAGGGACTTGCCCCTGGGGGTGGTGCTACAAAAGGAAGGAAAGGAGCTTGGCAAGGAAATCGTGGACACTCGTAGACGTGGGGTCTGAGGCATCTGTCATAATAAGGAAGAGGTATGGGATTTCCTTGATCACCTGGAAAATGCTCTGATTACAGTCTCATCATGGTTTTTCCTACTAGAGCTGCCTTTTCCAGGAAGGGCTGTGGGGACACGCAGTTGCTCTTTGCTAACCACAAGGGGGTGCTTTGGTAACTTTCTTCCTGGGTGTGTGAGGCTTTGTGTTTACTATTTTGTTGATATCTAAGTAGTTGGCTCCCACTTGCTTTACCAGGCCTTGTGGTTCATGGGCAGGTGGCTGAAATTGGCACAGCAGGTAATTTTTTTTTTAACTGGGGGAGTGTGGCTTAATGGTAGAGCACTTCCTACAGTGAGACTCGGCATCACCAAAAACAAATCACAAAGAACTGTTTAAGGGGCTCAGTGGTAGAGCGCTTGCCTGGYCTGTGTGAGGCACTGGGTTCGGTCCTCAGCACCACCTAAAAATAAATAAATAAAAATAAATAAATAAAGGCATTGTGTTCATGTACAACTAAAAATATATATATATTTTTTTTTTTAAAAAAAGAACCATTTAAGAACTGGTAARAATCTTGTCACTGTTCAAATCTATAGTACTATTTGAAGTGTGATTTGTGTGTTAAAAAGATTACCATCAAATACAGAAAAACAGGACCCAAGAAGCCTTTCCCCACCGAGGGCTCCACAGGTAGTGTGTCTCGTAGACAGGTTTAACCTGGAGACTGACAGTGCAGTGACCCCCTGGTCCGTCCACACAGAGTGGAGTAACGTTTGTCTCTCACTTGGCCGTAGAGTAAGACCTTGACGTCTTTTTGCCTCAGACGGAGAATTCAGTTCTATGAAAATGTTCACCCGTGTTGCTGTCTCCTGTTCTTGTAGAAAACATGAATTATGCCAACGGCTTTCCTTGTCCTGCAGAAGTTCAGACCAGTTTTATCGATCACAATTCTCAGTCGACCTGGAACACCCCACCCAACATGCCTTCCGCCTGGGGACACGCCAGTTACGTCAACTCTCCGGTAGGGGCAGCTCTGGGTCATTTAATCCTTCTTTAGTCCTTGAGCGCAGCRTTCAGTTCAGCCAAAGCTTGGCCTGTTTTAGATCACAGAAGCCCCCTCTGGCCACCCTCTGGAGGAGGCTAACCTGGGGTCAGACAGGTGGGCACCTGCAGAGCGTGACATTYTGACCTCCCCCACTGAGAGAGTCCTCTCGGACCGCATCAGGCAGAGGTCGTAAATGACCTCTTGTCGCTGGGGCKAGAAAGGCCCCGTGTGACACAGCTGTCTTTATGTGTCCTCACTGCCCCTTTCCACCGTGGTACAAGATGCAGTGAAAGTCCCAGGAAGGTCAGTCAGGGGTTGGGGTCAGTGATAAGGCCCAACACCTTCTTTTTCACCACATTTTATCCTTTTTTTTTTTTTTTTTTAATGAATTTATGGAGGGCATTTGGCTGTGAGTCCTTCCTTAGATTGCAAGTAAGCTTATCCGGTTAGGTGAGGATTTCACAGCAGTCCTCTTTGAACAAAATGGAGTAGAAAGTAGTTTCCAGGCCACAGRGTGGATGGGTGGCTGTGTCCTCGGGTGCTGATTCAGCCTTGAGGTTGCCTCTCCGCAGCTTCTTTTTGCTTTAACCTTTCCTTCCCTCCCGTTTATACCCCAGCCCTACCTCACCAGCACCCGAAGCTTGTCTCCAATGTCTGGACTTTTTGGTTCTATCTGGGCCCCGCAGAGCGATGTGTATGACAGTTGTTGCCCGGTCAGCCCCAGCCCAGAACACTCRGCCCACATGGAAAGCCAGGCGGTCGTGTGCAAGGAGTACTACCCAGGGTTCAACCCGTTCCGTGCCTACATGAACCTGGACATATGGACTTCCACAGCAAATCGGAACGCCAACTTCCCACTGTCCAGAGACTCGAGTTACTGTGGGAATGTGTGAAAAGAATTGGATTTTTAAACAATGTGAATAAAAAGGCTTGTGTTTTGATTACTAGCGTAAACTGGTTGTTGAGATAGATTGTGACATTGGCGGATATTTTGGCACTTTTATATGAAAAATAAATTTTTTTATGAAATCTGGGTGCTCTATTTTTTTGTAAACCCTTTATAAATCAGTGGAAGAAGACTCGCCACCAAAATGTCGTGACTTTCACAGTCCAACAAATGTGTCGGGCATGGCCAGCATTTTCAATCAGAACAAGGGAGACTTCCAAGAAGGTTAAGGGTGGAGAACGAGTGACTGCATGGTTTCCCCTCCCTGAGCACCCAGGGAGCTTTCAGAACATGGAGGGGCACGTTCTCAGAATTTCCGACTTAATTGGTCTATGGCTCAGGCAATCAGGATTTTCCCAAAAGTTCTCCATGGATTGTCACCTGCAGCCAGGGCCAAGCACTTGCCGGATGGACACTGCTCAGGGCTGGAGGAGCGCTGGCCTCTCCCTGGGGCTGCCGGGTCTTGGCTGCTGGAGTAAAGCAGAGAGCCTCATGCTACACTCCTCAGGCCCCTGCTCTGGCCGAGACTGTTCCTGCCCCTCCACAGGCCAGTCACTAGGGCAAGGACAGCAGCCGGCACATTCTGGTAAGTGTTCAGTTGCCCTCCCAGGAAGCAGGCTTAGCCTGAATTCAAGTATTTAGGGCTTGTAGGTCGTAATGCATGTTTGCCAGACCAGTTTGTACCTGCTTGTCGTTGATGTTAGAAGTGCATCGAGGTGGAATCATCTATTTGCTGTGTGTAAACTTGGAAGACGTTTTTAACTTTTAATAAAAATCTGTTATTTTTACATACAGTTTTGTCTTTATTGGAAATTTCAAGTTGGAGTGTTTTTTAGGTGGAATGCTGCATTTTTGCCTGCTTGGAATGAATTCCTTTTAGCCATGATTGAGTGGGGGGCCTGGGGAAGGAGAGCGGATATGATGTCCCCTTAGGACTGCCCTTCTGCAGGGAGCTAACCCAAGCTCGCTGAGCTGCTGGAGAACCGTGAGATAGCCCATTTAGGGACCTGGTGTGGGTGAAGCACCCTTCTTTCTGCCCCTAGTATTGAATAATGTTAAGATTTTGGTTTTTTTCCTAGGTGTCTAGCCAGGAGAGAGGTGGACTAGCTGTGTTCACGGCAGCATTGTTCWCAAYAGCCAAAAGGTGGGAAAAGCCCACAAGTCCACTCCCAGATGATGGATAAACAGACGGTGGTATATTCATTCAGTGGAATATCGTTCTGCCTTAGGAGTGAAATTTGGATGCAYGCCCCAACATAGATGAACCCTGGAAACATTATACTAAGAGAAAYAAGAAAGACACCTTTAAGTGAATGAACACTCACTTCCAGTTTCCTTGTTAGTTAATTTAATCCTAGGGCTAAAGGCAATATGCCAGTACAGTGAGGRTTTTTACCTGCTTTTGTATATATAATGGAATAAAAATGTATTGTTATTATTTTCCTGATGGGACAGCGAGGGATAATGAAAGCAGAAAAATAAATTAGGGAGTAGTCTTGAGGCAGAACTTATATCTCATGTGTCTACTTGACTCTGGTTGGAAAGTTTATTCGATCCTGATAATGTTTTGGGATTTCTTTTTTTCAGCAACTGAAATCATTTTTATTTTTTTTTTTAAGTTGTAGATGGACAGCATGTCTTTTTTATTTGCTTATTTTTGTGTGTGGTGCTGAGAMTCGAACCCAGTGCCTCACCCATGCTAGGCAAGTGCTCTGCCACTGAGCCCCAGCCCCAGCTCCCCAAGTCATTTTTATTGTGGTAAAAAACAACCCAAACTTGTACCATCTAAATCGTTGCTAGTGTCCAGGTCAGTGGCGTCCTGTGCATTCACATGGCTGTGTGACCTTATCTACTTACAGAGTTTTTATCATCCCCCAAACTTGAATGTGAACTCCCSGTTTCCTCCTCCCTGGGTCTCTGGCAGCCACTGGTCTGATTCTTGTTCTGTCACTGTGACTGGGTAGGTCCCTCATGGAGAAGGGGTCTGGGAGTCCAGGAGTCCCTACTCCCACTGGAAGCCAGCTGGGTGGTGGAGACGGTGCTGGTGGGCAGGAACCTGCGGCGTGGGGAGGGGCCTGAGGAGGTAGGAGGCAAACAACCTGGGCTGAAGCTGCATCCTACTGATGCCACCAACTCAGTGGCAGAGCACCCAGTGGGGGACCCTGCTTGGAGGCAGGCATGGAGAGAGGGGGTTGGACCTGCTCTGAGTGACCAGGACATAMCTGAGCCGAGTCAGGTGGTTGCACCTACAGATGGGGGAGGTAGGTGGAGTTTCGGGGTGGAGGCTTGAGCCTGAGGTTGGTAAAGCGGTGAGAGGGAGTGAGGAGGAGGGTCCAGAGGCCTGAGCCTGGGGTGGGGCAGGGGAGAGGCCACAGGAGACAGGAAGAGTCGCTGAGAGCCCCAGCCACACCAGGGCTGAGTTAGATGAGGACAGGGGCTGGTCTCCTTGGAGACATTCCAGCCGCTCAGTGCTCGCGTCAGGGACCTGGGAAGGTGGGTGGGGCCTGAGCAAGGACTAGAGCAGGAGCAGCCGGTGATGATGGCACAGCTGTCAGCATCACCTTCACCCAGGGCTTGTTGGAAAGGGGACTCCCCTCATCAGACTGTCCATTTCAGCAAGGTCCTTGGGTGACTTATATGCAGGCTCTGTAGGACAGGGATCAGCAGACTCTGGCCTGTGGCTATTTGTGTGTGTGTGTGTGTGTGTTTTTAATATATCATTTTTGGTTGACATATAATTTTACATATTTAAAGTGTTCAGTATAACATTTCAATATATGTAYAGAGTGAATAGATTAGGGTAATTGGCATTTCAACCCAAAACACAATTCCCTCTCTCCTAGCAAATTTAAAAATACAATTAGTTGTTGTCAACCATAGTTACTGTACTGTGCTGTACTCCTCCTATCCAACTGCTCGCCTGTCCCCATCAGCCATCCTGTCCCCGGCCCCTCCACACGCATCCTTCCCAGACTCTCTTAACCACAATTGTCCACTTCTCTGAGATCAACTTTGTAGCTTCCACATATAAGGGAAGATGTGGTATTTATTTTTCTGTGCTTGATTTCTTTYACTTAATATCCATTTCCATCCATGTTGCYGCAAATGACARGGTTTCATCCCTTTGTATGATGGGCTAGTATTCTATTGTGTGCAAATACCACACTTTCTATCAACAGACACCCAGGTAGATCCCTTATCTTAACTATTGTGAAAAGTCTTTGGCCTGTTTTGCAAATAAAATTTATTAGACCACAGCCACTTCTCATTCACCTACTTGCCAAGACAAGAGTTTGGGACAGAAAGCCTGTATTATTTACTCTCTGGCCCTTAAATGAAAAAGCTTGCTAACCCCTGCTATAGAGGATAAGAACAAAAACAAAATAATAATAGACTGGGCCTCCCAGGCACGCCGTGCTGTTCTAGTGTTGGATCCTTGACCCTGAGACGGTGAAGTGAAAGAGAAGTAGATTATGTCTTGTTTCGGGTACTGGGGAGGGGGGGGGTCTGTATTACAGCATCAGAATACACTGTTGTCTTTTGTACCTACTGTGATATCTGACAGTGTGTGTGTGTGTGTGTGTGTGTGCGCATGCGCATGTGTGGTACTAAGTACTGGGTGGGCACAGTTACCTGGCAGCTAAAGAAGTGTATTTGTCAAGTTTTCATCACCATAACAAATTACCTGACCCAGGCTACTTATGAAGAAGAGGTTTATCTAACTTACAGTGCTGGCAGTTCCAAGTCCAAACAGCATGGTGTAGGCTCTGTGTTGGGGGCTGCCCTTTGCTGCATCATCTCATGGTGGATACCCGTGGAGGGAGTGTGTGTGGATTCAAGAAGATTACAACTTGAGCCAGGAAGCAGAGAGTGGGGGGAGCTAGGCAGCTGCTTTTTTGGTAACAAGCCTCTTGAGAGAACTCCAGGAGTCAAAGAGCTACCTTCCAAGGATGCTCTCCCACCCACAGTCACCTAAGGACCTCCCACTCGACCCCACCTCCTAAGGTTCTGCCACCTGCCAGTAGCAGCACCCTGAGCCTTGAATACCTGAACTTTTGGAGGGACACAGACCTTACCCACACCTCATCAAGAAGTGAGTCTTAGTTATTGGAGAATACCTCAGGGTCCTATGGTGGGAAGACAAGCCAAGTCCCACAAACAAAGACGGGAAGAAGCGACACCCCGGTTCTTTACATAACAAGTGGACTTTCACCCACCAGTCTCCCTGGGCAGGACCCTACAGGATGACAGCTGTTCTTAACACTGGATCATGCTGACAGAGGAGGAAGCTTGAGAATCGCCCCAGTAGTAACAGCAACGGAGGAGAAATCCCTGCCTTCTAGGGCCTTTCCACCTGAGAAAAGGGACCATGAGCGAGCACGTCCCCTGGGGCCAGCCTTCCTAGGTTCTAACTCCAGCTTCACCACGCGGGGATCGGCGCTGTGCCCCAGGGCCTTCTGTCCCATAGTGGGAACCTACCTCAGGGAACTGGGAGGACCAAAGGAGCTGGTGTTCACCCTGCGCTTGGCACATACTGTTTGGTATAATTCATTTAAATGAAAGAACAAGAAACAGTAGGATAAACATGAAACGTGGTCTGAGGGCAAGTGAAGCAGGCACTTTTATACATTACAGGATGGTCAATCAGCCGTGAGTGTTCAGCACCTTAACACCTTTCCTAGGAATTGACTCCTAAGAAAGATAGTGAGTGATGTGCACAAAAATCAGGCATTAACTTCCTTTTGCTATTTATTCATTATTGTAAGCAATTTTCAAATGGATTTATAACATTTTATAAATAGAAACATAAATACAACAAAGTTTTTCAATGTAAACTGTATTTTAAAATTTAAGCATGAAAATCAGAACTTCAATTCCCAAGGTATTGTTTTCTTTTTCCCTGATTCTGGTCAATGATTGACTCTCTACCTCTTTATTTATTTGGTACTGGGCATKGAACCCAGGGGCA